AGTAAGTATGTAGGTAAGTAAGTTAAGTAAGTAAGTAAGTAAGTAAGTAAGCTCTAATAGTATACTAAAAATCAATGACACAAGGGCACAAATAATAGGATAGGCTAACAGAGAAATGCTCATTTATCAGCTGCATTAAAAAGAAGGAATTGGTTTGGAGACGATATTCCTAAGATTGGAGGGATGTACATGAATATTCTGTCCCAAAAATTGTAGGATATAATTGTGTACAAAATCGAAAATATTCAAGCCTACAAGGAAACATATTATTGAAATTAATTTCATAATTTTGGGAAATACGGATGAGAAGGCTATTTGTCACAATGAGCCACACGACGGTTGCCATATGTAGAACATAATCTTTTTACCCTTCCGAAGCATCTGAGATCACTCCCGTTTTTATAGCCTTTTTTTATGGTATTTGTTGCTCATTCTTAAGTTTTCTTTGCTATGTTTTGTAAACTCATGTTTGTCTTTTTGTTGTTTTTCTTTTAAGCAATGGCGTTGTCAGTTTCTCATCTATTTTTAAGTTTTGAATGTCTCTTGGTATTTTTCGCCTCTGTTTTTATTGATAAATTTGTCATGATGCTGATGTTATTATTATTTATTTATTTATTTACTTATGTGAATGTATATTTTCCATATTAATATTTAAATATTTAAAAAAATCTGTATTCAGCTTTGATAACATGATTATATATTTTTTTTCTATATTTTAAGAATGTAAATAATACATTTACTATGTAAATATTATAGTTATTAAATGGTTTAACATTTAGATTTTATTTTTAAATCTGTATTCAGCCATGGTGACATGATTATTTATAAAAAAAAATCTATTCTTTAAGTATTTAATAAATATATTTACTATGTAAATGTTAAAGTTATTAAATGGTTGTACATTTACTAACTATGCTATGTTTATTATAAGTACCGGACTGCCAAAATTCAGTTTTTATATACACCAGTCTTGCTATTTGTTCATTACAAATCCCAATCTGCCTTAAATCTGACTTGGAGTCTTTCGTCGTCGTCCGTTAATGTTGACCACAAAACTACTGGCCCAATTGAACCAAACTTGACCACAATCATAGTTGGGGTATGTGTCCGACGATCCCACCTGCCAACTAACATGGCCGACAAGGTTAAAAAGAGAACAATGGGGTAAAATGCAAGTTTTGTCTATTATCTTGTAATCCGCTATTGATAGAGAAAATCTGGCATTGGAAGAAATATTCACAATGCTTATATCTCAATCCTCTCCGTTTAGACAAAAACTTCAGACGACTTCCGGAGAGAGATATTGTTGCAATTACGTTAACGATCAACAGATTACTCCGTTTCACGCTAGCCACACTGTACAATCGGTGTTCTCTATCAGATGTGGTTTACGGATACGGTGTACTGTTCGCATTTTGTTCACTACACATTGAAGGCTGGGTGCAGACAGGAAAGCAAATATTTTGTTTTTTCACCTGATTATCAACAATTTATTAGTCACTTTTCTTTACAAAGATATATATCTTCATTCTGAATAAAACAAAAATGAAAAAGAGACAAATATAATACACAACATTCATACGAAAGTAAGAAAAAGTGAACATTTTCGACAAATATGTGACAACGCTAAAAGTTGCTTCTCACATTATTTTGGACCTTTAGTTGAAATTCACAATTTTGACATTTGGACTTTTAATTTATTTGTGTTGGATATTTCATTTGATATTTTAGTTTCTATTTGAATTTCTTATCCACGTATAACTTTTAATCAGCATGTTTTGATGTGTTAATTTGAAATTCTCAGTTTAGACATATGGTGACACGTTTTAATCTGTTACCTAATTAGTGACAATTTACCTTAATGTACGTTCTTAATTATCATAATCAGATTATCAATTTCACATTTATTCTTCCAAGTTCTAAAAATAGTAAAATCTTTGACAATGAACAATATCACTCAGATTAATTGTTAATTATTTGTTATGTTTATGCTTGTCAATTTAATTTTCTATAAATACTTGTTTATAATTTTCATGCCGGACTTTAAACTGAACACAGTCCATCCGAAATAAAAGTATTGCATGACCAGAGTCTCACGTGTTAGCTTGCACCAGAGTTGTCATTGTCATTAAGAGCATTCGTTCGTTCTGTGATCAGGTGCATCACACAAAATCAGTAACAAGAGGCCTCTCAGTCAGGCTCTCGTTACAGGTCGTTATTTTTCTCCAGTGACAAATACTTCGAATTGTGACTTTTTTGTTCAAGTTGATGAAAAACTCAAAGTTTACAACTGTTTCCCCTTACTTTTTCCTTTTTTTTTTAAATCTGTATAACAATTACATGCACACACACACTGAAAGAAAATCTAATTTATAGGTGTACTGCGGTTTTAGGATACATATTTTGTGGTGCACTGTGGTTTCTGGTGATCCAGACTATTGTAGTGTACTGTGGTTTCTGGATTCAAGTAAAGGTTTTGAACCGGATTTCCGATGGAAAATATCGGTTATCAATTCGGTGATGTACAGCATGCGGCTTTGACGAAATCTTTTCAAATTTACATATGTTGTTTCCTGTGACTAAATGAAGGTCAAGTTCTGTTTTCACGATTTTAGCTTTTATCGTTGTTGAGTTGTAGACCTTTAAGTACCAAAAAGTGATACTTAGAGCTTTGTCTGTGCAATAACTTGAAAAAGCTCTGACGAAATTCTTTTCGAATTTAGATATGTCGTTTCCTGTGACTAAATGAAGGTCAAGTTTGATTTTGTCGTTTTTAGCTTTTATCGGTTGTTGATTTGTACACCTTTAAGCCACTCAGAAGCTGATACTGGAACACACCATTATAGAACATGAAATATAACAAACAAACCCTAAAACAAGAAATACACGCAATGACCAATAACGGCCTACTAAACACTGAATAACTAAGGAATAATGTGAAACACCAACACCCTATAAACTTGGAAGAACTAAATGTTCTGTTTTTTAATTGCTTCTAGAAATGTGAAATCAATTTGATGTTTTTATATTTTCAGATTTGAAGAATATTTTAACTTTTTATCCTTTTTTTATCACATATTTCATACATTTTGATATCCTATGAGAGGGAATAAAAAGCAAAAAAATAAAGAGTATAAATAGACAACGGCAGTTACGGGAGTGAAAAAATGTAGGACTCGGATGTGCGATGGGGACACTGAAGTGCGATGGTCACGCTGAAGTGCGATGGTCTACGCCGAAGTCCGACGGTCCGTTTGCTGATGTGCGAAGGTCTATTTGACGCATTATGGCCAGTTTAAATAGTTGAAATATTAATCTGAACGGATAGGGAGACATAAACTGATCAGCCTATTCCAAAAAATAAACGGAACAGAGCGAATATATATTTCATTATCATAATACATGTTAATTCGATTAGTCTTTATTTCGTCTCGTTGAGTCATATTTCTTTTCGTTTTGTTTTTTGTTTCAGAAATGTTTATCCAAAGTTGGGTTTTTGATACATACAGCTTACTCTTTAAAGCTCTTTATCCGACTGATATTTAACAATATGACAGAATCAATCAATTAAAATAGCAACATATACATATACAGCACATAGAATCAATACAGACAGCACATATCAGTAAGTACAAAACACATGCAACAAAAAAACAAAGCAACATATACATATAAAACACATACATACATTAAAAGCATAAGATATCAATACACATAAAGCACATGCAATATAGATAGCAGATCAACATATTCACATAAAACACGCACAAACAATAAAGACATAAGATATCAATAAAAACAATACATTCAAAAATGAAGCCGTAATTAGTAGAAGCACATGCATATGAGTATAAACAGCTAATGCACTGTTTAAGCATAAAAGTTTTATTATTTTTCGTATCTTTCCGTTTCTATTTCATTTCGCACTTTATAGGCACCAAGATTGTTCATGTGCCCTTAATAATATCAATATCGGTCCCGGGATCGGTTTTGATTTTTTGTACTTTAAATGATTTGGATTGGTATTTTACATAGTTTTATAAAATAATTGAGAAAAGTGGATCAAAAACTTATGATATTCTGATAGAGTGATGGATGACTTTTCTCGTCATCAGAAAAACACTAACTAATGGGCAATTTTACAAAAAAAAATGATAAATGAACACGAGATGAGTTCCCTGCATCTAGTCCGCCTTTATTTATTTCAACTTTGAGTTCATGGCGACTGCAGGTTAGTTATTTCCACCTAAGGTATATAACAGGTATCCAGAAACCACAGTGTAAAAATTGGAAACCCCAGTGCACCCCGATACAAACATGCTCCGCAAATCACAGTACACTGCAAATTTGATTTTCTTAAACTACAATGGCGTGTAAAGCCAGATCTGATAATTAATCAAGACAGTTGAAGGATAACGAAATGTAAGGGTTAGTTTTTTTCACCAAATTGAAGAAAAATGTGACAGTTTGATATTTTATTAGGAAACCTAATTGTTCTCGTTTTTTCGTCAATACGGTCAATTTTCATCATCCACAAAAGTACATATTCCAATATTTTATGATACGTTTGATGAAAAATCTCGTTGAAAGCAATGTGATTAGAAACCACTGTTTATTTTAGATCACCCGTCAACGTGTTTTTCACATAATGTGAAACCACAGTACACCGTATCTGGAAACCACATCTGAAAGGGGACACTTCTTAAACATACGATGTGATGGATGAGTCCAGGATGACTCTGTAATTTGAGGTTCATTTGACGATGACAGGAACTATCGTACCTTTCCCTCACTCATCAGCTCAATCAAGATTTTAAACCTGACTTTTTGATATAATGTTTACTTAATACTCATCCTGTGAGATGCAACTGAATAAGCATACATATTTTATAAGATTGGACATCTGTTTTATTCGCATTGTCGTAGTTGGGAAATCTTTTACTTGCTTGCTAATAATCGGATAAATAATCGGTTTATAAATCACATTTATTTTGTCACTAATGAAGGTTAGTTATCATTCTAAAACAATCACATTCCTTTAGGAAGCCCTATATAGACAGACACTATACATTTATTTAGGTTTATGCAGCTAGTCTAAGATTATTGGAAACCTCATACCATGTCGACTTCATCATCATTTTAATCATTTCAATAGATGTTACTCGACTTTGGTCTATTTACGGACGCATATCATGTTTTTGCAAGATCCTGTCATTTATCCTTCAACCTGGACCATGAATATTAAATGTTGATGGCCCACGGTAATCTTCTTTGGTCTATTGGTATTTTTCCTCATATCCTTATTCTCATATGGTAGTTCCACAACAATTATCGAACGTGTGCATACCTGTCAACTTTTGAAAATCCTCAAGGGGGTTTTAGTGCGCGACAACAGTTTCAACAGTGTGTATAATTATTTTTATTGTTTCATCATATCTCGTGCAATGGCTGCAGCTTTCCAGTTAATATGTATGTGTTGCATCTAGATATGAATTGTAACACTTCATAGTAACTGAACAGGTTGAACAAATTCTTCTCAAGAGACAAGAAAAAATTACACCTCGAAACACCGGATCATTTAACATTTCAGCTTATAGTTATACATTTGTAAATGAAAACTGAGATTGTGATAGTAAGGTGAACAATTAAAAATCCGGATATCGCTGTGAATTCGATGAAAGTCAACCATTTCCAAATGATTTTTCCTAGTTTATCGAATTTTCAGAACATTTGCTCATACAAATTTCACACCATTTCGAAGAAGCTACGGAAATTTTATTGAAAAAATGAAAAATATTGCTATCACAGAAAAAAAAATCGATATTTGTTTATCATGACTAGTGCAGTGATACTGACATTATCATCAGGTACGTACGCATCAAAAGAAAATTGTACAAATTATAGTTTTGTAAATACAAAATATTAAATCTGTAATTAACAATTCTCAGACAATTCAATATATCAAGCATATTGTAAAGTGTGTATTAAAAAAAACCAAATGGATTGTCACATATTAGAAAATTAATTTATTGACAACCTTTTGTGAAAATTGTATACGTTTCCAAAGGTGTTTTGGATACAAATATATAGATACCTTTTCATAATTGTTGACCTATTGTGGGTGTAGAAATATCCAGCCACGTCTTCTTGAGAGTTTAGTTTACGGTGAGCTGATAAGCGCATTACGCAATTCGCGCAAAAAAAAAATAGGTAGCTTGTTTCAATGTAAAAAAGAGGTGTTCTTATGAAGTCGACACTATTTGACCCAAAATTCGAAAGAGTTTTAAAATTCTATTTTAGGGAATACAATTTAAGTATTATTATTATATCGAATTCTTGAATTTCCTCTTTCAATTTTATTTCAATTTCGAAGTAACGACAATAATATTAACGACAAATTAAATGCGTATTAATGCAATGATAATACTTTTTTCTAATAAACCCTAAATAATTTTGGACGCAGTAATACATGATAAATACTAGTAACAAATTTATGTGCGGTATGCTTATGAATTTTCTGATCTATTTTAGTTTCTTGTTTAACAAGAGAATAAACGGGTTATGCAAATTAGTAGGGTATTTAATAGATTGAAAACGGGTTTCAAGTTTATCGAAGGCTGGGCGGTGACCACTCGACTTGCAGACAATTTTTTTTTTTTTTATATTGTTAAATGTGTATAAGACATGTGCAGTGAATATTTATTTCTAGTATACTGATTTGTAATGTTTATTTTATAGATTTGTTATGATGAAGTGTTTATGCAGAGGCGTTTAGGACATTATTGTTTGATGAAATGAAAAGACAATTTTAGAAAATTGATTAGATTGTGAATTATGATGATTAAATAGAAATGGTCACCGTGCCTGTTAGTATCAGAAATAGTCTTGTCTTATTTGTATAGATATATACAATATGAGTAAGTTTAGAACAGATATTAGGGGTAGAGTCGTACAAGAAAATTAGAGCAAGTTAGCACATAAACATGTTATGTTCGTTTGAACATCGTGAACTAAGAACATAAGTCCAATGTCCTGTACGACATAATGGACAAGATTGTTTTGGCGGGAATGACATAACCTTCTAATTTAAAATCAATTACTCGTTTCATCAATGGCCTATACATGCAAATTAAAATTGTAGTAGTGACATGAATATAATGAACTGTCCTTTTGGATTACATAAACAAACTCCAGTAACACATCGACAATCTACTGATATAATGCTACATGTCAGTGAATATTAAGAGTCTTCAAAAGTTGGATGAAGTCAAATACACGTACTAGCATAATTTTGAATATATAACTATATATGTACCTGTTATATCGTGATGGCTTTATGTGATTTTCTCAGAAGAAATAGAAGGAAATTAATTATATTTCTTACTCCTTTACTTTTATTACCTCTTCCACTGGTCGTGAAAACACAGGTAAGAGATGTTTTTTTTTCTGCTGATGTTTCTGATGTTTTTGGTATAGGTACTTTGGGAAAGGACAATTTCTTATTTGCACTCCCCCTTTTTTTCTCTCCAAAATCTGATATAAACTATCAGTGACCACTGTGGATAGTAAGCTAATAATTGATAGTAAATCATAAACAAATGTTGTTTCTGGTATATTTATGTAGATATAACACAGAAAATTACGAAAAATAATTGAAATTAAAAGACTACGCAGTCAGAAGTATGTTTCATTACAGCTAGAAGTACATTTATTGTCATGTGACGTAGGATTGTTCAAGTTGCAAACTTTTTCTGTGTCTTATTTGGGAATCGATTATCGCCCATTTTGACCTTGTGCCTTGACAAATAAATCATTGACAATTGGATCTATCAAACATATTGTAAAGTCTGTATTAAAAAAAAACAAGATTGTCATATTTGTAATGGTGTTCCCAGTTTCTCTTCGACTTTTTTCCGTGCGCTCGTCCTTAAAATATGGATATGTGGTATGAATGCAAGTGAGGCAACTATCGACAAGAGACCTACGGACTTTAACAATAAGCAAAACATAAACATATAGTAAGCAATTAAAAGGCCCGAATTATCAAAATGTAAAACATTTGAATCGAGAAAAAACAAATATGTTTAACAGCAACCTTTTTTTCAGTTTCAATATAATTAAAATCGTTTGAAGGCCTAAAAACCAAAAAGGGCCTAAATAGAATATCTTAAGGATGTACTCAGGTGAAATTAAAAAAATCTAGAATTTAAAATTAATACTATAAGTCAGAAGAGCATTACTTAAGGAACAAAATAAGATAAAAATATTGGTAGGTTATGGAGCTCCTTATCGAGATATTTAATTTTTAAAAAATGGCGGGAAAAGGCTAACTCGGACTTTTACCTTATATTTGCATTGGTACTATTTGGGTCCCTAATCGAAAGAAAAGAAATCTAGAATCTGCTTAAATTTTAGTAAATGGCCTTTTGTGAGCTACTGAAGTCTTTTATGAAAAGAAAAATGGGTATTATGGTGCAAAATATTTTACACTGTATCGTAGGAAAAAACCAAGGAGTCCGAACATTTGACAAATGTTCCAAAAATCCTTAAATATAGCTTTAATCGAGAGAGTAGCAACCGTAGTTTTAATATTATCTTAATATAGTTCATGAATATCTGTGTGGTTTTCAGTTTGGGATATATAAACCAAAACAAATAGAACAATTTCAGGATCAACATGCAGAAATTGGGAGAACATTGTGATTAAAAATCATTTAATAGCAAAATTTATAATTGTGCAAACTATCATGAAATTTTATCACATTTTTTATAAGTTTAATTTCTATATTTGTAATATTTTTTCTGTAGTGTAAATGAGGTGAATGATAACCACACTACTTTATTCGACTGTTTTCATATTACCGACTATTAACTCCGGAGTTTATAAATTTTCGACAGGTTCGTGGTAGGACATTCTGGAGCTCGGTTAAGTAAGAGCAACTAAAATAAGTAAAATCAAGCTAACAAATGGTGCAATTTGGGAAATAACTGTTTTCTGATGATTTTATCGTGTATAGGGAACATTAAACAGTTATATGTTTTCCAATCTATAGGGTTCCCATCTCATTGATCCACTTATATAACCTTCCGAGCTTGTCTACTGTTTTTTTCTCCTCCTGATTTGCATGGGGGAAATGCCAACGGATGTTAAACAAACAACTAATTGCCAATTGAACTATCCAGTAGAAAATGAAAGGATATGGAGTAAATGTACATGGGAAAAAATCGCACACAATACATAGAAAACATAGAAAATTATCAATGAACAGGGCTTTTATTCCTGTTCTTCATCTTGACAGTTGATGTAGGGTCTTCAAAAATGAACAAATCATTCATACCCTACAACAAGGTCAAGACGGCCCCTAGCGTCGACTTAAGCGGTACTATTGATAAAAATAAACCACAGTTCACCTTCTTGCTCCCCACCCGCCTCGGAGTGCCAACTTGTGCGATGCTTGTGTACGGTTCTCCAGTCGAAAGCACCAGGGATACAAGAAAAGTGCAGTAATTTTGAAAGACATCGATCGCCACTAAAATATGCTTTGAAGTTACACATGTCGGGAGCGGTCAATGAATTACATAATTTAAAATTACGGGCGAGGTTTTTCAACATATATTTGTCTTACATTGCCCAACAAAAGACCAATAATTTCGAAACAACAAATGATAGACAATACATATAAAACTAAAAAAAAACAAAAGATAGACAGCACGGGGCACATCGAAATATATGTAAGAAAACCTAGCAGTTTAAAATAGTATGAAAGGGCAATATACAAAACAGATGACCAGACCAGTATTTTGAAGAAATGTAACCAAACATGAAATTTTGACGGTGTATTAATATGAGGAATTCTCACATGAACAAGCACACCATAACTGTAAATATTATAAGAGCATACACCTCAAGTGTCCAGCAGTCCGGTGTTGCAGTGTCAAATGAATATTCAACAGACCAGTAAGCCCTTGTATATATGAGATGCGCTTGCGTTTCGATGAACTGTCTCTTTTATGCAATAAAAGAAATTTTACGTTTTAGATTCAATAAAGTTTTACTGCTACTATTAAGTATTTACACAGCGCAAAAAAATCTTAAGAAATCAATTCCGAATTGATTATTTAAATGAGACATTCCTTTTTATGTGCCGTTTGTTTCATATTATCATATATACCTTTGAGGGTTTGAGATTTGATAAAAATGTCATTTTTTACAGGAATCAAAATGTGGATATGGAGTTCTTTTAATGGGTGTACTATGGATGACAGAAGCTCTTCCTATATCTGCTACAGCAATGCTACCAATCATTCTGTTTCCAATGATGGGAGTTAGCAGAGTTAGAGATCTAGCTTCAAAATATTTTTCGGTAATATTGCAATAGTATATAATTTAGTTATAGTTAAAATTACAATTGTGATTTTAAAAACATGCATCAAATAATGTAAAAATTATGTTTAACTATTAGGAAAATGAGGGTCTGGATGGGATTAACAAAATAGAGAATAATTGACACGAAAAAGAAAAAGTGGATCAAAAAATTAAAGGAAAGAATAATGGAGTGCTAAAATAAAAAGAAGAAGAATAAATGAAATAAAGAAAAATATCCCAAAAATTGAAGAATATATAAAAGAAGACACCCCATTCAAACCCTCGACATTGTTCCAATTTTTAAACTTCTGTGGATAAAGTATAACTTTGTAGAGATAAACATTTTGAACCTCCTATATCTAGTCTTCTGACAATATAAAATAAGGAGATGTGGTATGATTGCCAATAATAGAACTTCCTATAGACCACAGAACAAACATGTGAACAATTACAGGAAACCGTGCGCCGTTCAAGATAGGTGGTATGATTGCCATTAATAGAACTTCCTATAGACAACAGAACAAACATGTGAACAATTACAGGAAACCGTGCGCCATCCTAGATAGGTGGTATTATTGCCAATAATAGAACTTCCTATAGACCACAGAACAAACATGTGAACAATTACAGGAAACCGTGCGCCATCCAAGATAGGTGGTATGATTGCCAATAAGAAAACTTCATATAGACCACAGAACAAACATGTGAACAATTACAGGAAACCATGCGCCATCCAAGATAGGTGGTATGATTGCCAATAAGAAAACTTCCTATAGACCACAGAACAAACATGTGAACAATTACAGGAAACCGTGCGTCATCCAAGATAGGTGGTATGATTGCCAATAATAGAACTTCCTATAGACCACAGAACAAACATGTGAACAATTACAGGAAACCGTGCGCCATCCAAGATAGGTGGTATGATTGCCAATAAGAAAACTTCATATAGACAACAGAACAAACATGTGAACAATTACAGGAAACCGTGCGCCATCCAAGATAGGTTATATGATTGCCAATAAGAAAACTTCCTATAGAACACAGAACAAACATGTGAACAATAACATGAAACCGTGCACCATCCAAGATAGGTGGTATGATTGTCAATAAGAGAACTTCCTATAGACCACAGAACAAACATGTGAACAATTACAGGAAACCGTACGCCATCCAAGATAGGTGGTATGATTGCCAATGAGAGAACTTACTATAGAATACAGGACAAACATGTGAACAATTACAGGAATCCGTGCGCCATCCAAGATAGGCAAAATCCATACCGTATAGAAAGACAACATATTTTTATAAAAAATATCATATCGTACGCCAATTTTTTTTAATTTCCACTATATATCAATAGTGATTGGATACAAATTGGAATAGGTAGTTCATTATCACACTCGTGATCAAACATGTTTTATTAAGGTACACTTATTATTTCCTGTGAAAGGAGAACCTTTTTTTGTTTGATTAAGAAATCTTAAGATTGAAATAACTATAAGATGAAACATCTGCTTCTTTCCACATAATCAATCCACAATTTTATCGATCTTCATTGGCTGAAATGTCGTCCGTTTGTTGTAAGGGACGAATGAATACAAAGCCACGCCTTGTTAGAATGGGAAGTAAAAATCTGACACCCATGTTCATAATGTCATGCCCTCTCGGAACAACGTTTTTGAAGTTTCCATTAGTGGTTTGTTCAAACGTTAGTTGCGTGCTTCCTGTAATCTTTACTAATAGATATAAAAGATTTTAAGTTCCATGAATCGCAATTTGATATTCATATGGTTGGTTTCACGGACGGCACGACCCTTGCCTATCTCTGATAAAAAAAAATCCGCTTTCCACACTTTTGTGCAATCAATCACACCATATACAGTACGTACATTCAGCTAATGTCAGCAGTTTAAATTAAATGTAGATTTTCCCCAATGTAAAATTCATATTTAAATTTGGAAGATATTTTAAAGAAAATTCAGAAATAATTTCCAACTTTCTCTAAAATAATTGCTTTTAAAAATTGTTCATTCGCTAAATATTAATCCTTTATATTGAATATCATGCTATTTTAGGGTACAATGTTTGTTTTCTTGGGAGGTATGTCAGTAGCAGTATGTATAGAGAAATGGAATATACATAGACGATTTGCTCTGAAGTTACTCTTGTTGCTAGGTACATCTACTAAATGGTAAGATTATTCGTTTTCTTACTCAGGTTTGGTTTATTTCAGAATTAAAAAAGTATGTCATCGCTTCAATACGAATGGGCGCATTTTAAAGCTACAGTAACTGTGAATTATTTCAGATTCTTTAAGATTGCTTGTCTAAAAAAGAGCCGGATAATACAAAGGAGACATTCAAAGCTCATAAGAGGAGAAACTGACAACGGCATGACAAAACAAAAAAACACACACAAAAACGACAAAAGACAAACAAGTCTACCAATTACTTCTGTAACATAGAAAACTGAAGACTGAGCAACATGCAGGACGTCATCAAAGCCCCGTTTTGATCTCAATTGCTCCGGAAGAGTTAACAAATTCTGCTCCACATATGACACCGTCATGTTTCTCATGGTTAGAATAAATACGGTGTAAAAAATTCGAGAATGACTATTAAAAAACATTGTTACATTTCTGACTGTTGTTTTTTGTTGATGATAATGTTACTGTCATTTATATATTTTTAAAACTATTAAGGTTTTGAAAATATCTATGTCTTTTGTCACGTTTTAATTGGGTAGGCTGACATTTGGATTCATGGTTTCTACGGCGTTTATGTCTATGTGGGTCAGCAACACAGCAACAACATCCATGATGATTCCGATTGGTCAGGCTGTCTTGGTTGAACTGGTTCGAGTACGTAAAAGGAAATCGATCGACCAAGAGGAGAAAGATATAGGTTAATTTCATGTTATATTTCTCATAGCTAGATAAAACTATAATATACGGAATCTTTCTATTTGAACTGCCATAACATCCACACATTCTCTTTTATATTGTGGTGGATATATTAATCTAATGGTAACAATTATATTTCACTGCAGGCAGTAACTGAAAATAACTTATAATATTTGGCAAGAAACGCCTTATTCATAATGTATGTCAAACAATGGCAAAATGTAACATTTGCGAAACATGTTTGTGTAACAAGAAAGGCCTTAAGTTTTTCATTAGTAATTTCTCTTCCTTTAACACCGATAAACTAGAGATGGTGGATTTATAGATCTATTATATTTTTAACACTAGTGGTTTTACTAATAAACTCATCATAGATACTAAGCAATAAATTTTGTACACCTGACGCGCGTTTCGTCTACAAAAGACTTATCAGTGACATTCAAATGAAAAATGTGAAAAAGGCCAAATAAAGTACAAAGTTGAAGAGCATTGAGTACCCGAAATTCCGAAAAGTTTTGCCAAATAGAAGCTAAGGTAATCTAAAATACTTTGAAGTGAGATGACGTCATGAAATCTGAATAGAAAACTTCGTACTTTTTATCGCTTTTTATTGCTGTCAAAAGTTACTGTCTCTGAGATGGTGTTATTTTATTAACGAAGTCTCCATAAACGAAATTGCTAAAATTGACACCTTTGTTTAATTAAATATCATATTTTTAGGTGAACAAATGGACGAAAAGATTGATAATTTAGAAGAAAATGATAGGTAATATGAAATTAACTTTTTGAAAACACGAGTTGGAAATACCTTTGTTATCGCCAGTATTGTAGATATTCTATTCATGTTTTTTTTATGGTAAAAATGTTCAAATATCCGGAAGTTTGATATGTTTATGCTTATTTTAATAACTTTAATTGTCTCTTTTTTTTCTTTTTTCAATTTTTGTATGCACCATTCTTAATCTGGCTTGACCAAATCTATTGAAAATGAAATTCAAACACAATGTCACGGACCTTAAGCAACAGGTCAAGTTCGATTTAAACAGTAGGACATTTGCAGTTTAAGCGTTTTTATTTCTGCGCAGGGTATATGTGATCCCTTAGTTCCAGTTTATAATATTTGTTTTAATGAAACAGTTCATTTAAGAATTGAATGCTTCTTTTTGTAAATTCATTGGGGTGTAATAGCATTGGCCGAAGTACATTTTGTATGAAGCGCGGAAGCGCTTCATTCTAAAAATGTACGCACGGTCAACGCTTTTACAACCCTATGAAATTACTAAAAGAAGCGTTCAATACTTATAATTACATTTTTTCGCTATGATCATGAAAACACGATTCCTATCAACTTTTTTTTTTATTTACCTGTGCACTTTGTTGTGGAAACGTGTGTCATCATGTATGTTTCAATACATGCAATTCATTTTGAAATGAAGAATGACGCGAGATTGCTGTTAGCCAATCAAAATAACGTATTATAATGAAATATACATCGATATCTAATGTAATTATTTTCATTTAAAGTAGATCAACATACTAATGAAAATTGAAAATGAAAATGAAAATGTTTTACATTGTTATTTTGGTGCCTTTTATAGCTGACTGTCCGGTATGGGCTTTGCTCATTGTTGAATGCCGTACGGTGACCTATAGTTGTTAATTTCTGGGTCATTTGGTCTCTTGTGGAGAGTTGTCTCATTGGCAATCATACCACATTTTCTTTTTTACAGTAAACTGAAGTTGATAAAGAACAATGAGGATAGTGACACATTTGAATTTGAAAAGTTAGACGCTGAGTCAAAGAACCTTTGTAAACTGGTATGCCTCTGTATTTGTTACTCGGCTAATTGTGGTGGCATTGCGACATTAACTGGAACAGGACCTAATCTAGTGCTCAAGGGACAACTCGATCAGTAATTATAAACCAATGTTTGTCGTTGTGATAATTTTATCACAAACTCTAATATCCTTACTTTATGATGTTATACCAAACCCTTACCCAAAAGTCATCCCTAACCTACCTCACATATATACTAGTCAACAAAAGAAACGATACAAGGCAATGTATTTACCATATAAAATGAAATTGGATACACTGTACCAAGGTAAATAATTGCCCAATTGGTCTAATATTATACAATTACTGTCTTTTGATGAGGTAAATATGTGGTTTTATTGACTTTTGAAAAACTAATATTCACTGAGGCCAACGGCCGAAGTGAATATCAGTTTTTCAAAAGTCAATTAAACCACATATTTACCGAAACAAAAGACAGTTATTGTTTTATTCCATATTCCGAGAGAAATGTATGTAATGGCAATTAGTTACCAAAACCAATTGTACATCAAACGATTTTACCCAAATTATGCACGTTAAAGCACGCGACGTTTTGCGCGGTGAATATACTTTTTCCGCAGGTGAATATGCTTATTTATTCAAAATCCCATTCATATATAAAAACCTACTAAAGTTCTATCAATATGGAATAATTAGTGTTATTTTCTTATAATTACATTAGATGTATGTTTCATTATAATACGTTATTCTGATTGGATACACTGCAATCTCGCGTTATTCCTTAATCAACTTCGTTACACAATAAAATTTATCATTCATGATGACACTAGGTCCCACAATAAAGTGCACAGGTAAATTAAATAAAAACTTGATAAAAATCGTGTTTTCATGATCCTAGCTAAAAAATGTAATTATAAGTATTGAATGCTTCTTTTTGTAACTTCATAGGGTTGTAAAAGCGTTGACCGTGCGCACATTTTTAGAATGAAGCGCTTCCTCGCTTCATACAAAATGTGCTTCGGTCAACGCTTCTACACCCCAATGAAGTTACAAAAAGAAGCATTTAATTCTTAAATCAAAACCATTGATTTAAGGGCAAATACGCGAATTTTTTTTTGTTATTTCAAAAATCGTATTTTCACCCAAAAATTCAAAAATCGATATGAGAACTTAAAATTTTAAACTTAAACATGGTCTGCTTAAAATTTTAAATGCCTTTGCAGATATTTGAATGCTTAATTCTCATCTTCGAAATTAAGTGCCGACTTTTGTCATCATTTTCCGCAAAATAAATTGGACCTCTGTGTTCAATAACACGGTATTTCCTCACTTTCCGATTTGGTCAGATTCTTTTAATCATATGCATTTGCTTTGCAAATGAATGTTTTTCATTGGATAATTTAACAGTTTTTCCTATTTATTATGTTTTATGATAAATTTGAGTTTAAACTTGTGTATCGTTACTTTTGTTGACTAGTATACTTTCAACCCTAACCTACCTTATATATACTTATATGTTTGATTATACCAAAATATTAACTCTAACCATCTAAAAGCTAATATCGTATATTCAGTAATAAGGAACTGAGAATTACCCAATATATTGCTCAAAGGAGAAATCGAACTGTAATATAACAAACGTTCCTCTTTATATGAATGCTTGTTTGCTTAAAATGATCACTCAACATAATATCTAATTTTGATCTTGTCAGTTTACGTTAATGGTAACGCCTTACTTTCAATGCTGTATTCTGATTGGGTTGAATATTTGGTTGGTTTTCTTTCTTTTGGTCCTTTTCTTCCTTTTTGTTTGTTTGATTGTTTTAATTTGTTAATCAGAACATGTGTTTAAAATAATTGCAAATGGCTGAAATTTTTGTTCGAGCATATTGTTTTTCTTAAATTGTTTAACATTTCATACCGATATAACATGTTACTTTTATTATTCTTCCCTTAATTTATTTATTTTGTATTTACATTGTATCATAGGTCAAGTTTATTTGTTCAGTGTATGTTCACTGGTGTTAATATGTCCTTTGATTGAGTTAAGCTATTTCAGTTGATATTTTATAGTGTGTCTTTCTATGTTGTGATGTTACACTATTGTTTCAGAAAAAGGGTGAAGGTTTGGTACCATTTAAACGTTTAAACCCGCTGCATTTGTTTGCACCTGTCCTAAGTCAGGAATCTGATGTTCAGTAGTTGTCGTTTGTTGATGTGGTTCATAAGTGTTTCTCGTTTTTTATATAGATTAGACCGTTGGTTTCCCCGTTTGAATGGTTTTACACTAGTAATTTGTGGGGCCCTTTATAGCTTACTGTTCGGTGTGAGCCAAGGCTCCGTGTTGACCTATAATGGTTTACTTTTATAAATTTTGACTTGGATGGAGAGTTGTCTCATTGGCACTCATACCACATCTTCTTATATCTATATCTACTTTTACGTATAAACCACATTTCAAACTTGACTCTGAATCTGTAGACCAATTTTGATTTCTTATTCATATAAGAGGATACATATGATGTATTGAAAACGTTGCGTTTATACACATACCACACCATTATAAACCGATTAATGGTCATTAATAATTGATAAGTTACTGAATTACAACATTGTCAAATGTACTGACAGAAACAAATTATTATAATTGTTTTAGAAACAACGATCTTGATATTCCGAACTCTTGGTTTGAAAAATCATGTAAACCTAAACTGTTTGTTCTCTTTCGCCTATTATATATCAAATTTGTAGGGGCCTCTGTGACCGAATGGTCTAAGTATTTCAACCATTGTATCACTTGCTTGTCAATTAACACTGAGGCTGTGAGTTCGACTCCAATCTTAATTGACTAGGATTGTCAGTTTTCCTGCCGAAAGCACAGGCACTTGTCTCTGAAAAAAAAATAATGCTATATACTTTAATATAACACCTTGTCAGAGCCAAGTGCCTGTGACCAAAAGTCGGTTTCCCCCGCCAATAAAAATTACCCACCTCCAAATAGCAAGTCGAGTTGAAAGTGGCGTTAAGCACAAAAAATCTTTCAATCAATCATATCTAACTGTCTTTTCCAGGATTTTCATTACCTGTCAAAAATACTCTTTTTTCTTTGTTCAAAGTATCGATTACAGGTAAAAATTTGACTTGCTGATGAATTTTTAAAAGTAAAACCCAAGGGAAACCCAAAGAATAAAAAAATATTTTAACACAAACTATCAAAGAGTCACAACTTAAAATTCACAACCTCTGTATTGAACGTTGTAGAACGACAAACTAATACGTGCAGGCGGAAACCCAGTTGAAATTAGACAAAAGAAATGGAACTCTTTATTAAAAGGCAACAAAGACAAAGGCCGTAGTTTGACCTATAAAGGTTTATTTTTACAAATTGTGACTTGGATGGAGATTTATCTCATTGGTACTCATACCACATCTTCTTATATCAATTTGGTAAATTTGAATTGTTTACATCTGTTTCTTTGGACTTTAAAAGTTTAATGAATGTGCATAGTTTAGGATTTTATGCATCTTAAATTATGGTATGGAGCTTTGAGATATTTATATACGCATTTTCACAAACAAGTCGATTTTGGTAGGTGCAAATACACGTGGATTTTTTTTTTTTTGCTCATAAGCATAAATTCCGCCGTAGAAAACCAAAGAAAGATGATAGATTAATCTTGTTAAATCAATAATTTGCATCTCTGCCCCCGGCGACAGTTTTTTTAGAAAAATCCCAAAATGGGCAATAATTTCATCGCAAAGAGAAAGTCGAGTACACCTTTTTTATGTTCAGGTGTGTTTGAGTTGAAAATTCTGTATTGAAAACGTATAAAAGAAAAATATTTGATAAATCATTTCGCTTCAGATTCTATTATTTTTATATATTAAGGCTATAGGTTGATATAACATTAAAAATTTACAGTACTAAAAAATGAAATATATGGGTCAAGCGAAATACCTTTCTAATGAGTCATAACAACAGAGTAGGTATGTTTGAATAACAAATTTTTACTAAAAGCACTTGACTTTACAAAATTACAAGAGGATCTTAACAATGCATAACTTAAAAAAAACTTAATTTTAGGGTGATTTATTCGAATTTTTAAAAATATTTTTGAACTTTCGAAAATCCCCCTTTGACAACCGATCAGACAATTGTTTTAAGTTGACCAAATGCATTAAAGTACATTAAATGATGCCCAATAGCTAGTAGTCTTTTAAAATACAACTGGCATATAAGGATCGTAATGATGCTATGTGGATAAATTGATCGGTTTTCAAGAGCTAAATTGACAGCGCGTCATCACTACAGTGGCTTCCGTTTTTACGATTATAAAAATTAGGTGGCTTTATAGGGAGATAATTTTTTCGATGGAGAATCCTTACTGCATGAAAGTCGGTATCCGCGGCCTCATAATGAGAAAGAGAAAGTTAGATTACAGAGGACAATATCCGAAAGAAAATAATAAAAAACAACGTGTTGGGGTATGGATTGCCAATAGCTAACTTGGATATATGGATAGAAAACTTTAGTAAAGGGTACACATTCATATTGTCATCAAAACTGGAATTGTTAACAGATCTTGACAGATGTTCCGTACGATTGTTTCTATGTTTAAAGTTGACTATAAATCGGCATATTATATCGCCAGTTTAACATTTAAGAAATTATTTGATTATTGTATATTTGAATTATTTCATGTATATTCTATTTGTTTCCAACTTTTTGTTTAGATTGGCTGGTGGTAGTTCCGGTATATCATTTGCTACATGGTTCATTTTCGGGTTTCCTATAACGACAGTCAGTGTTTTAATAAATTGGTTAGTTCTACAGATTATGTTCTTTGGATGGAGGTGAGTTAGAATAAATGGAAGCATACTCATGTCAACGTATACTTATTGTTAGTGGTTTGTTTTAAAATGAATATGAGATGACAGTGGGATTCCTCCCAATAACATAGAGAGTTTAGGAAAATACATATTGGTTGTATTTTTTTTCTTCTAAACGTCTAGTGGCATACTGTTCAAGCATATAAGTCTACAAGTATAAAATAACAAATTAATTAAACGATTAATTGTACCTTGCATGGACTGAAAATGGCGGAAAGAGATGATATTTGGGTATATACAGAAATTTCTCGTTGAAAAAGAGTCATAGTAAACGAAGTAGTATAACTGGTTTTTACATGCAGGGGAATAAGTGCTGAACCTACAACAGGCATCAAGTTTTATATCAACTGATATAACGATAGGTAAAAATGCTACCTACATGTAATACATGATGTTGTTCATTATTTTCAATATAACACATCACATACTTTGAAACAAAAATCCACGATTTGCATACAACTCAATAAAATGAATTCCAACATCTTTGAAGATTTCTTATTCACAATTTACAACTCCCGTTAGCGCCATGTGTCGCAAAGGGCACTCTTTGGGAAGTCATCACAATTCATTTAATAAATACGATAGATTCATTTGATAAATACGATTATTCATTTGATTAATACGATAAATTCATTTGATAAATACGATAAATTCATTTGCTTAATACATTAAATTCATTCATTTATTTATTCAAACCAGTTTCGTTCACATACTATAACATTTGTAAATTCAAGGGGTCCATTCACAAAAACCAAAACATGTGAAAATCCAGAAAGAATCAAAATGATACTGCAAAAGCAGTATGAAAGTCTTGGAGAAATAAAGTAAGTAAAAGTGTGATAATACACCCCGCTTATGTGTTTGAGATACAATGCATAACCGTTAGTTCGTTAAAAAGATAAAATGAGTCCGGAGTGTTTTTAGATCAAGAAAGCCAAGCGTGATTTTCCTGAGAATAAGTCATATCTATAAGTCACATCTTATAATGATGTTTATAATCTTATGTCAATTTTACCTACAATACATATCGTAACGCCGCCTTTGGATTTCGCTAATATATTTAAGTATTTCGTATTAATCTTTTTAGAATTAATTGAACAGAAACTACGATACTACGAATTTAAAAAAAAAAATAAATATTAAACAATTATTTCAGAAATGTATACTTATTGTATTTTTCATTGTCAAGTTTTTTTGGTTTTTTTTTTTAGTTTTCTTTTGACTTGTGATGTAAATTTTATAAAGACAGATTAAATATACCAATCTTTATATGTAGTACGTCAGACGTTCGTTTCGTCACAGTTAAAGTAACATGCGTTTCTTCTCAGCTAATGCATAAGTGATTAAATTAGAAATTTTTATAAAAGAGTTAAATACAATTGTTTGCTTCCATTCAATTTTTTTTTTTAAATCTTGTTTGACTAAAACTTTAATCATTGTATTGATAACTTATTTTTAGTTTTGCACAGAAAGCGGTTTGTGTCCATTTTGTAATGCTTGTGTTGTTGTGGTTTTCATTAGAACCAGAGTTTGTTCCTGGCTGGGGACATTTCTTTAAAAAGGGGTATGTGTTAGTGAGTAAAAAATATGATTTCGAGCACAAATAGAAGAAGAACAAGAACATATTTTATTACCAATTAAGGGCCCACAAGGGGCATATAGGAATACATGTATAAGGAAAAAGAACATTGATTAGCATAAATACATAGAATTTAAATACACAATCACAATACAATTAGACTGTAATAAAGCCCTTGGTTTATAGTATATAATATAGTTACATGATATGATTTCGAGCATAAGGTTACTCAATTTATACGAACAGGCAATTATATATCATCCATTGTACAATAGCTTTAGCAGAAATAATAAATATTTTGTCTTTCTACAAGCGATGCGATATATAATTTTTCAAGTCGTTGCTTTTATTACACTTCCTTTGTCTGTTATCTTTATATGCATGTAGGGGCATCTGTAACCGAGTGGTCTTAGTAGTGCATCCACTGTATTACTAGCCTGTCAACCCAGAGATTGTCAGTTCGAACCCCGCACGTGGCAGGTGTGTTCCACTCCAATTTTTATTGACTAGAATTGCAATTTTCCTGCCGAAGGTCGGTGGTTCTCTCCGGTTTCCTCCACAAATAAAAATTTTATTTGGTAGCACAAAAATGTAAAATGTAACTGTATACTTTAACATTGAAGCGGTTTTATTTTCCATAAAGTTTCCAACAGACACCAAATATATAAAAAGTCGAACGCTTAAAGTAGATAACATAATCTTTGTGCAGTAGTATCTAGTACAAAACTTAAGAAGTAACAAGAACGATATTCATAACACATTGATTTAAGAACGAAAAAAGTCGATAACCAAGGTAGATTCTGCAAGTGGATTGACACCGGTTTTTTTTTTAAGAAGAATAAAATTGAGAATGGAAATAGGGAATATGTCAAAGAGACAACAACCCGACCAAAAAGCAGACAACAGCCGAAGGCCACCAATGGGTCTTCAACGCAGCAAGAAAATCCCGCACCCGGAGTTGGTCCTCAGCTGGCCCCTAAATAAAATTGTGTACTAGTTCAGTGAAAATGGACGTCACACTAAACTCCATTCTTTGTTGTATAATGTTATCTTGCTATTTATTTGCTATTTTGTGTTATATTATGTTATCTTTTGCTATTTTGTATTGTATGATTTTATCTTTAGTTATTTTGTGTTGCATTATGTAACGTTTAGCTATTTTTGTGCAGGTATGTGTCAGATGCAGTACCAGGAATGATAATAGCTACTAGCTTGTTTATTTTTCCTTCTAGAAGGCGATCCAAAACTGAAACAGGTATATGTTGCTATTTCCACAGTTCTTTTAAATCATTAGAGAATTCTTGGTATTTAACATTCGTAATGTTATTCGAACATACATAAACATGTTTTTTTAGCATCATTAGCTTATTCATAGGATTTCCGTAGACAATCCTGATTTTGTGAATGTATAAGTTATTCCATACGTCATCTCTTTCGTATAATACATTGACACTTGTCGATTTCAAGTACAATATTGTACTTATTATTTTTACTAAGAATTGCGCATGTATATGCGTTTAGTTTCAATACCGCGTTCCCTCAAATGTTCGACCGTTTTGTGAGATTAGCCGTTGTAATGACTTTTGATCATGAAAGAAATATTTACTGAGACAACGGCAGAAGTGAATATCAGGTTGTTTTTTTAAATTAAATTTCACCACATATTAACCGAAACAAAAGAAATTTTTTTTTGTATTTCACATTTTGGCAAAGACATTCATTATGACAATTGTTTTACCAAAACCAATGTAAAAACGTTACATGTAAAACAAGTGACGTTTTGAGCGGCGAATTCAATTTTCTGCAGGTAAATGTGCAATATTATTCATAATTCGATTCATATAGAAAATAAAATTGAGAATGGAAATGGGGAATGTGTCAAAGAGACAACAACCCGACCATAGAACAGACAACAGCAGAAGGTCACCAACAGGTCTTCAATGCAGCGAGAAATTCCCGCACCCGGAGGCGTCCTTCAGCTGGCCCCTAAACAAATATATATACTAGTTCAGTGATAATGAACGCCATACTAAACTCCAAATTGTACACAAGAAACTAAAATTAAAAATAATACAAGACTAACAAAGGCTAGAGGCTCCTGACTTGGGACAGGCGCAAAAATGCGGCGGGGTTAAACATGTTTATGAGATCTCAACCCTCCCCCTATACCTCTAGCCAATGTAGAAAAGTAAACGCATAACAATACGCACATTAAAATTCAGTTCAAGAGAAGTCCGAGTCTGATGTCAGAAGATGTAACCAAAGAAAATAAACAAAATGACAATAATACATAAATAACAACAGACTACTAGCAGTTAACTGACATGCCAGCTCCAGACTTCAATTAAACTGATTGAAAGATTATGTCTTCATCATATGAATATCAGGCACAATCCTTCCCGTTAGGGGTTTAGTATCATACCATCATAACATATATGAGAAGAACATAACCCGTGTCATGCCAACAACTGGTTTTTAAATAGATGTGTTTAGTGCCGATGCAAAGACCCTATAAGTGAATCAATATTAACGCCAAAATATGCAATCTTTAATGACCTGACAACAGTATCGTAACTATATCACCTACTTAAATAATTCCATATGGAATATGTCTTATTTCGCGAACCGGACATTCGATCAATTAGAAAAATTAGAAACCCGACCATAAGAATCATTTCTTAATTCAAGTTATCTCCCTTTAAAGTGTCCACAATTCTTGTACATGATCGATTTCTTTTAGGTGAGGACGATACAAAAGAAATACCTCCACTTCTAGAATGGCAAACATTTGTGCAAAAAATACCGTGGGGAGTTATGCTTCTACTTGGTGGTGGATTTGCTCTTGCTTTCGCATGTCAAGTATGAAACTATTTTTAATTCTTCTGATATGTCAAATACACATCAGATATGTATAGATGGATGCAGTCCTAACCTGTACGACAAGTCATTTTGGCCGGTCAAAGTTATCCTGAGACAGATTTTATGACTGCTTCGACCGGTCTAAGAACCAAAATCAAGTTAGTTAAAAAAAAACAGACTTGGTCCTAGGATAGTTTTTATGGCTGCCTAAAAACGGTTCACTTTAGACTGGTCCGCTATTGAAGTTAACATAACATCCAGTCCTGAAACAAGTTAATTTCGACCTTGACAACTCCAAGTGAACCAGACCTGTTCTAAAGTTAACTTTTGGAAGGTCTGCTCAACACTAAGTTAATTTGTGACCGCTTTATATTCAATTGATAAAATAATTTAAAATTTCTGTTTCTTGATATAAAACAAAAGCTAACGTTCATTGTATAGTTCAATATGTATCAAATTCTTCAAGTTATTTATATTCGATATAACATAACTTCTTATGTTAACTTGGAAAGTCGTCAACAAGTCTGCCCCAAGTTTATTTCATACAGGTTAGAACCGTACCTATCTGTTATCTCTACAATGTTTTCTTTAGTTATATATCAATGAGATAAGTGATATTGTTATGTTTAATTCATGTAAAATTCTCTGTTGGATGCGAAATAAAGCGTTTGGTCTAAGAAAGGCAACTACCGCAACACTCTTAAATGAGATCAGTTGGCGAGACTGTGTTTATATTTTCTTCCATTCCAGGAAAAATTGTGAAATATTAATGTATAAACGAAACCAAATACTATGAACACATCATGCGTTTCTGCAAAACCTTCATATAAGGTGTACGCTCGAATCACGTACGTTCTGGAATAAAAAAAAAAAAAAGATATTTGACATATGAGCATCAAATCTAAATTCAAACATGCATGCATGTAAGTTTCGTTACAGTTTGTGAAATATATATTCATGGACAATTATTTCTGTTTTGCATTTGAAATCAAGATTTATTTATGAAGTTTAAACGTCAATCCATTTTTCTTTGCGCCCCCAATGGTGACTGAGGAATAGAAATATGTTCACTCGTGGTCTTCTTCCGACCGGCAGTAAAACTCTTGCCAAAGTAGGGCGTCCGTTTGACTGTTCGGAATGTACAAGTACGCAGTCACGTTCAGTCGTCAGAATTGGAACGTTAAATCCAAAGCCTCGTGTAAAGAGAATGGCACGCTCTAGCAGGCTGAGAAGCCTTGCAACAACTCTTGAGGGTTCCGTAGGTGGCCTGTTTTAAGGCAAAATTTCTGTCCCTATCAAATATATTCTCGTTTTCCAGTGTCAGTTCAAATTTTCCCGACCTTCGTCCCGGACGGCCTCTATTAAAAGACCTACCCATTGTATTTATTGTTAATTTGTTCTCGTCCTCAAAATGCAAGACATATATGCCACTGGACGTTAAGCAACCAACCAACAATTAATTAATAATATTTCTTTGCCTGTCATGTTCCAAGTACGTTCAAATTACAAAATAAACGACAACCATGATCATAGCCGGAAATCTGCAACAGCAATAGAAAACTAACCAATTTGATATATTAAACAGTCATAACGACAACGAGAGAAAAAGTGGTATTGGTGTCTTCGTTTGTATTTCAATGGTTGTCTATTTATAGTGAATGTTCATGGGAGTCCTTTATCGATATCAGCTGAATTATTTACAATTTATTTACACATGTTCGGGGCGAAGACGAGCTTTTCTATTGATAAAAACCGTTGTATGACCTCTTTATGTCCAATCTAGATTTCTGTGCTTGTGACATTTATTTTCCTGAAACACAATGTTTTCCCTTTTTTAAAGGAATCTGGATTATCACTATGGTTAGGTGCACAGCTGTCTGTGTTTCGAGACGTACCCGTTTGGATTATGATATTTATAATATGTCTTATTGTTTCCTTGACAACCGAGGTTATCAGTAATACAGCCACATGCACTATCGTCCTTCCTGTATTGGCAAACATGGTAAGTTCAAAAGTTTACTTTTTTATTTTATCAGGCGCTTTTATTTATTATATTGACAAATTGTATGTATACATTCTACTGTAACAATGATCAAATTGTAAGGAAAAGTACTATGTTTTCTCCTGTATCAGAGATTTTTCAATGATGATAATACGTTTGTAAATTCATTGTTTAAGAAAAAAAGTAACATTGAAGTTCCATTTTCAATTACAGAATGAGATAACATTTTCATTGCATATTTCTCGTGAAGACCGTTTGAAATGGAGTTTGACAATATAAAAATACGGAGATGTGGTATGGTTGCCAAGGAAACAACCATTCTCCAAAAACAAAATGACATGGATGTAAGCAACTATAAGTCACCGTACGGCCTTAAACAATGAGCAAAACCCATACCATATACCTATCTATGTTTAAATAAGAATACAAGTACCTTTTTCATCAATATAACCATTACACAAAAATATACGAAATTAAAGCAAAACAAATAAATGCGAATTTAATATATTCTTTGAATTTGTTAGTTATAGGGGTTTATTTTTACAATTTAGAACTATTAGTCCCCATTTTATCCATTGGCATACTTTAAACTATGATTATACTCAAAATTGACTATCATGAAAACGTGTTTCAACTGAAAAATGACAAAATGTTACGAGAAAGGATATATAAATAGGCTGAGCTTTTATCCAATCTCTTTGTTTGAATATAATTGATTTTAACTGTTAAATTTTTCAATTGAATTGAAAAATGACTACACTGAAAAAATCAGCCGCCTCTATATCTTATGTAAATAATAACATATATATTTTAGACTTTGTCGTTATCTCATTAAATAGTTAAATGAGTTATTTTCATACAGGCTGCTGGCGTGCATCTCCATCCTACATATTTAATGTTGCCTGCATCTGTCGCCTGCTCATTTGCTTTTATGCTGCCTGTATCTACACCACCAAATACCATAGCATTTTCATACGGATATCTTAAAGTTACTGATATGGTGAGTAAATTATAGAATTTTTATCATTAATGACGATTTAAATATTTGATATTGAAACAAGAACCCCAAAAACTGGAGCAGGGTTACTTATAAATAAAAAATTTGCAGAAAACATCTGGTTATATTTCTTGAAATGTTGATGTCAGTAATTGCTTTGTATATATAAAAACCTTGCTTTGTCAAATTTTAGTGAATATAGCTTAAACAAGGCCAAATGAACTTCACTAGAAACTGGTAGTTTTCCTAGGTATTGTATTGTTCTTTGGTTCAACCAAGCAAATAAAATAACATTTGATAAATATGGCACTTACGAAACGTGTGTCCGGAATTACCTTTATCGCGGAAACGCCCAAAACGAAATATCTAGTGCCCAGATTTGGCTGAAGGAGTTGGAAACTTTCATTTTTTTTAATAATTTTAACCACAACGTTGATCTTACGGTAGCCTCCTCTCCTCGAGAGTGACAGTACGTGGATTAGATTCCCGGCCGGATCAAATTCAGGCTTGAAAATTGATAATTGCTGCTTCTCTGCAAATCATGAGGCATTGAAAATTGCTATTTGCTGATTCTCTGCAAATCATACAGCATTTAAAAATAAGAGCAAAAACTCGTCGGCTCTTAGCAAGAAAAGCGTTTCCGGGTAGGACGACTTGTCTTCTTCACGAGTGCTACCTTGTTAACTAGAACGTCAAAAATCCGACTCTGTGTATCGGTCTAGTACAAAACAGAATTCATATTCACATTCACATTAGCCATTAATTCATCATCATCATCATAACTATTTCTAAATCTTATCAACGGGAATTCAAAGAAACGTGTGTTTTAATCAACTGAACGGCAAACCACCGACTTCTGGAAATTAAATAAATTCTGATGGGAAAAGACACAAAACAAGACAAAATAAAAGTGGCTATCACAAATCGCGAGGACGCCGATCGAAAAATAAAAAAGACCATTAAACAGGAACATGATTTTAATCATAATAGAAATTATCCCGAACAAATCAAACACTTCCAAAAATTGTAAGTTTTTTCTGTCTTTTTTCAATTTTAGATGAAGGTCGGAGTATTTTTAAACTTCATTTGTGTAATAATTGTAACAGTGGCAATCAATACATATGGAGCAGCATTCTTTAATCTACATGAGTATCCAGACTGGAAGCTTCTCTCATATCAAACAACCAATCTTAATACAACCAACACTAATTCTACATTGTTATAATGATTTCTTGTAAGACGAGTGCCTTAAATTCGAGACATAATTGAATATAAGACAAAACTATATATAGCTAGTTGTTTTTTGTTTGTTTGTTTTTATGACCGGTGCCATCATTGTAGTGCGAAATGTAAAAATAAGCAGACGTGGTATGATTGCCGATGAGACAACTATCCACCAAAGTTCAAATGAAGTGGATGTAAGCAATTATAGGCAACAGTACGGCCTTCAACAATGAGAAAAACCATACCATATAGTCGTCTATAAAAGCCCCGACATGAAAAATATGAAACAATTCAATTGAGAAAACTAACGGCCTAATTTCTAACAAAACAATTTACGAAAAACAAATACGGCAGACATGAACAAACGACAACCACTGAACTACAGGCTCCTGACTTGGGACAGGCACATAAAGAATGTGGCGGGGTTAAACATGTTTGTGAACGCTCAACCCTCCTCTAAACTGGGACAGTGGTGTAACAGCACAACATAAGAACAAAGATCGATCATTTTACAGCTTAATTCATTTTCGTGCTTCGTATCAATATAAAACAAGAGACCGCTTATGATATCAGAGGAAGCCAGATCGAATTTTATTTATAAAAATATATCTTTACTGCGTTTGCAACTCATGTCAAATCATCATTGAGCTATATCTGTTTACATGTAACACAATTTTCGTAATAATAATAATTAATAATTTTCTTATTTCTACAAAAAAAAATTACACTTAAATTGTGTACGATAGAAATAAGGAAATGTGTTATGTGATTGCCAATGAGACAACTATCAACCATAAGAGACCAAATGATGTCGATGTAAGCAACTATAGGTAACCGTACGGCCTTCAACAAAGAGAAAAATTAATACCGTTTATGATAATCTATAAAAGGTCCAAATATGACATTATATAAAACAATTCCGACTTGAAAAACCAACAGCCTGATTTTTTATAAAACAAGAAACGAAAATTAAATATGAGCTACAGCAACAACGACAACCACTGACTAAAGGCCAGGTACAGACACATACAAAATGTGGCAGGTTAAACATATTTGCTGCAAGCGCTCAAATTAATCTTGTTACAGAGGTGCACAACATAAGAACAAACTGTGAAAATTAATTTTGAACGGGACGGACTCGTCAGATTACCACGAAGCAAAACAATCAACTAACAAAAAATATATCATAAAGGTAGAAACTGTAAAAAGGCAAAGATGAGCAGCAATACACGATCTACAGAAAATGCCAATTCATATGACCGAAACTGCTGGAAGACTCATGAGGGAGTTATTGCCTGTAAATGGTTATTTTTGACTAATTTTAGTATATTGCCTATTATTTCCAAAACAACAAAAATAATAAGAAATACCAGATCTAAAAAAATGACAAATAATTAACAACTGAATGACTCATAAAGGAGTTTTAGCCTTAAACGACAATATATGGCTAATTATCGTGTCCGTCGTATACTTTGTCAAAGATCATCTTCTCTGAAATGCAAAAACTACTAAACCAATTGCAACCAAATTTAGTTTGAATAATCCTTATAATATCTAGTTTAAGATTTGTGTTTTTATAACCGTTAGTCAGCAGACATGGCTTACCGGTGTAGCAACCTATAACAATGATTATGTATTACAATAAATATTCTTTGAACTAATGTCACTTCACTATAAGCTAAGGCATACACTACCAATCCAAGCATATAAAGCTTATACACAATCAAAATATATCTACCAAGAGGAAAAATACATATTAATATGAGTTAATATAGTTAAATACTCATATCAATAATAACCAACTTAAAAAGGGTGGGTGGTTGGTTAAACATAATTACGAACTGCTACATAAACTGTAGGAAAACTTCGCACAATTGCAATGCTTCAACAAACCCCTAAAGTAATACTTAATCATGCTTTTCACAAATATAATGAACTGTGTAAATCCGTAAAAGCCGCAATGCGGGTTTATGCCATCAAATATCATAACAGACATAAACACAAAACATGTGCTTATTACAAAGTTTATAGTAAATATTCACTTGAACATTACTTCATCGTGTGACCAATAACTTTTATAAATATATGAAATTTTGATCCGATTCCCACAGAGGAATTATGCTCCATGGAAATCTGATACAGATTTTACCTACCATCGTTACAAACTTTTCATTAATTGCTCCTCGCGATTCGGACCACTCCGCAGATTTTGAATCGGGATACATGGTGTGATGTAATAAATATCTACGCGCAAACGTTATGATTTTTACGCAAAAATGTAATGGTAATGTGAGCAAAATTTATGCACATATTTAAACTGTGATTAACAAACTCTTATACAGTTTAAACTTATTTTATTTGCAAAATATCACAAAAAGGATGAGACACAAGTTAGTCCAACTTAGATAGTCTTTTCCTTAGATACAATAATAATCAATAGAACTTCATAGCATGCAAATATGAAACTTATTAATACATAATTCTAATCAGACAATATTTTAACGAACATTATAGAAACAGGAACATTTGGAAGAAAAATAAGAGAAAAAAATATGCATATGTGTACCTGTGTTTATCACTACATTCAGATAATACACATGATAAAACAAGGAACCTTTTGATCTTTTTAATATAGTCAAAATCATTTCTATAAATTTCTTTATTTTGCTCATTTGTCAGATTTTTAATACCTGATTCTTATACAATTAAATTTATTAAATATATTGCAAAGTGTGTCTTAAAAAAACTGGATTGTCATATTTTCAACATTAAGTTTATTGACAGCAATTTTTTGTTTTGTTTCCTATGACTCCAAATGTGATCAGGATACAAAATTATATGATTGTCAACAAACAATATATACATTTTCAATATATAAAATGAAATTGGACACTGTACTAAGATAAAAAAAATGTTTTTTTTTATCTATCAAAACGTTAGATTTAAGGCAAAAAAAAACAGAAATTTGTATTCGAAAATTTATTGATTTCAAAAATTAGTTTATATTTCACCCAAAATTTCAAAAACCGACATTAGAACTTAAAACTTGAAATATAAACATGGTGTGATTAAAATTAAATGCCTTCGAAGATATTTGAATACTACTAATCTTCGAAATGGAGTGCCTATTTTTCATCGTTTTCCGCAACATAAATTTGATCCCTGTGTTCAATAACACGGTATACTTGTGTATCGTTACTATTAGACATTTGTGGAAACTAGGTCTATACCTAGGATTACACTTAGACTTTCGATTACAGTTGATGAAAAACAAGGGGTCATCGCAAACAATAAAAAAAGATACATGATTTTTTTTTTTTTATGGAAAGAAGTCTTTTCGACGACACACTTATATGGCTACAATAGATATGAATCGCTGCCTTGGATGCCGCCACAAGGTTCCAATAACTTTATATCTTTTTTTAATTCTCCGATGGCGTGTTTAACTTCTACTTTATAGTGTGTAATAAACCTATTTCATTTTCTACTCTTCCTCTACATATTTTGGGGTTATACAACAATATGTTGTCTTGTATAAGATGTGAATAGTGGATGGCTGTTTTGGATAATTATCGCCCACCGAAAACAGTCGAGAACCATACGCTTTTCCCAAGAAACTGTGTATTTTTTTTATGTTATGGTTCTAGATATCGTCATGTGAATCTTATAGTGTTATATGTCCACTTTTGATAAAAATGGAGATAGCTATATATTTGAGATCAAAGTGCCATGGTCAATCTCTCTATACAACTATAATACGAGATTTGTACACTAGAACGAGTGTTTGACAGAACTACACTGTTCTATCTCCACACTCCAATTGGATTATAATGGCTTATTGACAGAACTACACTATTATATCTCCACTCTCCCATTGGATTATAATGGCTTATTGACAGAACTACACTATTATATCTCCACACTCCCATTGGATTATAATGGCTTATTGACAGAACTACACTATTCTATCTCCACACTCCCATTGGATTATTATGGCTTATTAATCTAGTTAGTTCAGAGAAAAATATTTTTATAGTGTTGTATCTCCAATCTTTCTCATGTATTTTTGCTGTTAAATAATAATTGTTATCAATCAAAATAATCTTAGTTGTACTATGATTAAATGGTGTGCATGGTTTAAACTCAATCTATGAGCTATTCTTAGAAAATCCAGCAGTACAGAATTGGGGGATATTGCAAAGTTAAAAAATCCATAATCTATCTCCAATAGAAATATAGGGATGAATTTATAAAACTACATCGTTTGTAGTGAAATGTTTTATCTTCCAAAAAGGGGATGCTTTATTTATCCTAATTGCTTGTCTATTAAAAAACAATAATTGAACAAAGAGTTACTCTTCATGTACGTAAATTCGATTCCTTTATAACTTTGTATGTCTCAGTCAAATATTATGATATTGAGCTTTTAAACTTTAATTAAAAACTTTTAAAACTATTACCAAATGGGAATAAAGTAATAATACGATTCACACGACGATATGTGTCTCATCTTACTCTAGTGAAGCAAATTTTGTTCAGATGACTTTTCAAACGGCACACTTTAAAATTGAGGGAAATTGGTGTGATAAACAAGTTTTACATTGAATATGATTATTCAACACGCCACATCGCAGTACTTTTGAAATAATAATGTCGGGTATCATCCTTCTTTTACACGATTGCACTTTGGTATCCGTAACTGGTCCTTAACCGACTTGAAAAGTGTGTTTTTGTAGATTTCTTCTCGCCTGATATACCTTAGAACTATTTATCCCTTTTAATCAACGGGACAATTTTGCGGATTAATTTAGTGTCGAAATAGACACTGTCATAAGTCAAAAAACTGTACCAGTGTCAGATCGGAAGTTATTATTCATGCTTCGAGCAAAACCAGACCTACTCATGTTCATGGGAGAGAATTATCGGGAAAGAAAATGTCCATACTCAAATGATTCCCAAGATCTCTATAAACATTGCACACAACAAACAACTTAGAACCCGGTTGTCATATTTTAATTTGAAAAGATAGATAGTAAAATTCCAGCTATTTAAGTATACATATTCTTGCATTTCATCAGAGTCTGACGAAAAGTTTAAATAATATATTCGACATAAAGATGTTCATTGATACCGGTGTTGTGTTTTTTCGTATATTTTTTTTATCTTTATTATATTGCTATCAAAAATTTTCTAAAAATGTCCAATCTAGTAAAACTTATTTTAAAAAGCTGTTAACAATATACCGAGCAGCATGTGAAACGCCATGAAGAATACATAGTGGTTAAACACCCGCCCTCTGTATGATCATCCTCTAAGTCTCGTGTTACAAAAATTGGAAAATGTATGTCTTAGCATAAACATTAAATATTGTCAACATGTTCATTAGTTGATCGCCCCTTTCTTAATACTAAGTCTTGCTGAGATTAATTTCTAATTGTCCAAATGACAATTGCAAATTTATTTTGCATGTCTAATGTAAAATTTATCAAATGTTGTTTATCCATTCTATCATACTCCGTTCATTTACAGCATGTTCAACCTGGCTAAAACCATATATACAATAATTGATTAGTACACATTACTACATAAATTTCTTTAAAAAAAACGTCGTTCAATTATAGAAAAACATCATAGGAGTTAGATTTTGTTTTGGGACGACAGTTTATATTTACACTTTGAGACGACTCAAGATTTAAATGCTACCTGTAAGTGTAATTATAATCCTAATCGTAGGTGTTATGTATGACAGTTTCCGCAAAAGTCTTTTGCTAGTATAACAAAAAGTATAACAAAAATACCGAACTCCAAAGAAAATTCAAAGAGGAGAAGTCCATAATAACTGACAATATCAAAAGCTATTAATCAACGGAACAAGTATTATTTTGACAGCACACGTGTAAGATTGTTTACGTTGTCCTCTTCCGGATGTATGAATATCCAGCCAGGTCTTATCGAGTGCTTAGTTTTTTGGGGGGCTGGCACTGATAAGAACATATGAAATAACCTCTTGACAAAAACTTGTTAAAAAAGGTCCTTAGGTAGCGTATTTCAAGGCATAAGAGAGGTGGCATTATGCGGGCAACACTATTTGACCGATAATTCGAATAATTGTAAAGATAATATTTTTAATGCGTACATTATTATTATATCGAATTCTTAAAGTTTAGTTTTTCATTTCAAAATTTTACAATTTGTAATTAACGACAAAAATATAAACGATGAAGATATCCGTATTAATGGAATACAATAGGTAATAGTTTTCTATTTTAATGCCTTTATTTTATCTTCAACTTTCAACTACCTGTAAAACAAATTAAATCTTGATGCAGTAATCAATGATAATCATACATTCACATAACCTGCTTATTCAAAATCGTTTCATTAAAGGCCTATACAACTAAATTAAAATTGTAGCAGTGACATGAATTAAAAGAATCATTAAAAAAACTCAAGCAACATACCGAATATAATGCTACATGTCAGTGAATATTATGAAATGAATGAAGTCAAGTACAAGCATATATTTGGATAAACACTGATAACTATATATGTACCTGTTATATTGTGATGGCTTTACGTTGTATTCTCAGAAGAAACAGAAGAAAATTGATTTTATTTTTAACTCCGTTAGTTTTATTACCTCTTCCACTTGTCATGAACACACAGGTAAGAGATGCGTTTTTCTGATGTTTCTACTGTTTTTTGGCATAGATACTTGGGATAACAGGATTAATTCTTTTTGCCATAGCTTTTTTTCTGAAATCCGTATTTTTTTGTTTTCTTTTAATTTCAATTAATTTCGGTTTATTTGTGTGTTTTATATTCAAAAAGATATATTAGAAACAACATTTGTTTACGATTCACTATCAATTTCTAGTTTACTATCCACAGCGATCCCTGATAACATATATTAAACAAATATTGTTTCTAGTATATTTATGTAAATGTAACATCGAAAATAACAATAGTTCCATCAAAGATTTTGCCCGCTTACTCCTACTTTTTATAATATATATATAATATAGTATTCCTATAATTTTATTACATATTGTTTTTGAATATTGTATAAAAAGTTATCAAAGGTACCAGGATTATAATTTAATACGGCTAAGGTAATCTATTCCTGGGATAAAAAAATCCTTAGTTTTTCGAAAAATTCAAAGTTTTGTAAACAGGAAATTTATAAAAATTACCATATAATTGATATTCATGTCAACACCGAAGTGCTGACTACTGGGCTAGTGATACCATCGGGGACTAAACGTCCACCAGCAGTGGCATCGACCCAGTGGTGTAAAAAGTTATCAAAGGTACCAGGATTATAATTTAATACGCCAGACGCGCGTTTCGTCTACATAAGACTCATCAGTGACACTCAGATCAAAATAGTTTTAAAGCTAAACAAGTACAAAGTTAAAGAGCATTGAGGACCCAAAATTCCAAAAAGTTGTGCCAAATACGGCTAAGGTAATCTATTCCTTGTTTTTTTTCATAGTTTTTGAAAGAAAAAAGGCGCCAATGTTAAATATATGGACATTCTAGAGAGAATCATTTCCCGTCAAATTTTCTATGTCTTATATCTCAAAAACAAGGACACGAACCTTTCATTTTTTTATGCTTTTTTCGTTCCGTTAATTATATACTATCAATTTATAACAATATTTTAAAAAGCTTGTTATTTTGAATCAGATCAGCGAACGTCATTAACACATAAAAGAACCTCTCCAAAAAACGAAAAGGTCCGAATCATAAGGTGCTGTGTTTCACCCCAAAGAGAGGATTCATTATGAGATCGACACTTTTTTACCCAAAATTTCAATAATCTTAAAAATTATATTTTATGTATCAATTTTCAAAAAGTATATATTAATAGCAGAATAATATAATTTGTTTCAAAAATGTGTTTTGTTTTGTTTTCAAGTCAATAGAACACCTTGAAGGTTACAAACTGTCAGAACAGTGAATACATGTACAATAAGTCTTTTCTTTATTTCTTTCAATTGCTCTCATCTAACCGAGTACCAGAATGTCCTACCACAAAGTAGATGGCCTGTCGAAAAATTTTAAACTCTGGTGTCAAAAGTCGGTAATAAAAGAACGCCAAATAAACCTACTGAACATATAGCTTTTTTGTGCTAATCCTTTTCCCATTTCAACGATCCGCTTTTATAACCTTCCGAGCTTATTTAATTTTTATTTTTCTCTCCTTCGATTTGTACAAAACAAAATGGATGTTAAACAAACATTTATAACTTGCCAATTGAACTATCCAGTGTCCATCTAACCGGTGTTCCTGTCTTAATATTTAACAGACCAGTATGTTTTTATTGCCCTTTGATATATATGAGGTGCGCTTGCGTTTCGATGAACTGTCGCTATTATGCAGTAAAATATATTTTTTCGTATTATATATATTTACGTTCTATTGGTAGTAGTAAGTATTTACACATCGCCCAAAAAAACGATAAAATGAATTCAGAATTAATAATTAACATGTTACATTCCATTTTAAGTGCCTTTCTGTTTCATATTATCATATATACCTTTGAGGTTTTTAGATTTGATAAAAATGTCATGTTTTAAAGGAATCAAAATGTGGATATGGACTTCTTTTAATGGCTGTACTATGGATGACAGAAGCCCTTCCTATTTATGTTACAGCAATGCTGCCAATTATTTTGTTTCCTATGATGGAAGTTAGCAGAGTGAGAGATTTGGCTTCTAAATATTTTTCGGTAATACTTGTATAGTTATAACCTATTATATATCAAAGTCATATGAAACGATTTCTTGTAATTTAAATTTGTAGGAAATAATTGAAGCATTGCAAGCATGTATACTAAACTACGTCCTCTGTGAACGTAGTTGTTTTACATTTATTACGAATTCATAACGTAGAATCGACAAAATATTTCATTCAATAATTGTTGATCGAAAACTTTGGCTGCTTATTAGCTTTCGGATTTTGGTGCCAAATTTTACCGATCGTTACCTGAGTAAACAATCAACACAGAATCATGGACTTTTTCAAAGCCATTCAAGTATAAAAAAAAATACCTATTTTATTCAAAGGATCATATGACTTTAAAATCAGATAATGATTTAAAAAAAAATATACAAAGGAACAGAAAAGTTCATGTTGCATGCTAGGAAACTGATTGCCTAGATTAGGTTAGTAGACTAGAAAATTATGAGAGAAAAATAGTTAAGAAATGAAGAACAGAGAACGATGGGGTTCTAGATATAAAGAAAACGATTCGATGAAATAGAGAAAATATTTCATATGAATTAAAAATGTAGAAAAGCAGACACTCACAACCAGACCTTTATCATGGTTCTATGTTAAGCTTGTGTATGTAGATAAGTATAACTTTAAAGATTCAAAAATTTGGAAACTACTATGACAATGTAGAAATAAGTTGAGTGATTGATTGTTGTTTGCCTAACGGTCAATGGAAAGATCTTAACGTATGACCTTCAACAATTGACAAGACAAAATTTATTCTTGTTTTCATTGTCACAAGTGACAGGAGAAATATTTTTTTGCCAGAGCAAAGAGAATTAAAAAAAATCTTTGGAGTAAAATAACTTAAAGATTTACATCTACTTCTTTCCACTAAAATGTGTACACTGGATACGCGTGTCTATTTTTATTATAGAATATTTTCGTCATCAGTTTGATACGGGATCCGAAATGCTCTATTTACAAACTAAATGAATTATTCTCTAAATAATATATATCCATCAACTAATGTCAACGAACTGAATATGTACAACAGCTCTTGCTTAAACAGCTTAATTCATATCCATGTATTCTACATCAAATCTAATGTACTGGCTCAAATTAGTACAATTACCAATTTGTCCTTGGCAACGAACAAAGTTGTCCTAATTGTACAATTTTGTACCGTAAAAGCTACGACTTGTCTTATATGGTACAAATAATACTTGACAAGATGCAACTTGCACAAGTCTATCAAGAACAACCTTCAATTAATCTTGTTCCACTACGATGCAATTCAATTTTAGAGAATACACTCTCTTATAATCATGTACCATACGTATCAAGGCCATCGTCTTCGTAGAAGCGAATGACATTGAACCAGAACTTGTGTCTGCTTATATACGATTTTAGGGTTCATACCATTATTGTAGAAGGGATGTTCAATTAGTCTCCTCATTTTTTATCTTAGAATTTCCCATTAGAACACAATCTTACTTTTTGTCTGACCTTCAATTACCCGACAATATCTTGTTTATTTTTATGTTTTTATCTAACTTAAAACAAAACGTAAAAATAAGGCTTCTATCAAAACGTTACTATTGTAAACTGTCTGAACATAAATTCAGTAAACACCACACCTCAAAGAAATTGCATAATATAGATCTCTTGGACATGGGCTGAAATGGCGTGCATTTGCTTCTTGCCATTTCGGACGAATAAATAAGCAGCAACTTCTGACTAAACGATAATCTTGTGTTTAGAATGTCCCGCCCTTTTATTAACAACTCTTCTATGAGGTCCATATATGTGGCATGTTGCAAGGCCAAATGTATTCTTCTCGATTTCAAATGACAGCATAGGCCATCAATCTCATCCCGGTCATCCCATTTAACTGTTATTTCTAATATGATGTATTGTTTCATTCCTTCTCGTCCTCGACTAATTTGCCATTGAACGATAAGCTTACAACAATATTACAATTATTATATTAAAACACATTTGGTACGGTGTGCTTGTTTTGTCCTGATCAATATGATAGTTGGACCACAATCCGACTAAGCAGCATATCCTTTGTTTACAACCATGCACTTCGTGTTATCTATACTAATAGATATACTATATTTTCGGTTTCATGAACCTTTCCATTTGATACGGTTGGCTTCCAAGCTCCTTACTCTTCTCCGGTAAATGTAGTAAATATCTTTCCACACTTTTGCACAGTTAATCACAACATCTTAGTACTAGTACTTTCAGCTGGTGTCATCAGCTTTAACAAAATTTGAATTCACCCCAAAATAAGGATTTTCAACTTTAGAAGATATTTGAAAGAAAATTCCGAAATCGTTCTCAACTTTGTCTTAAACAATTTCTTTCAGATATTGTCGTTTCGCTAATCAGTACTCCTTCATATTGAATATTCTGCTATTTTAGGGTGTAATATTTGTTTTCTTGGGAGGTATGTCGGTAGCAATGTGTATAGAGAAATGGAATATACATAGACGATTTGCTCTGAAGTTACTCTTGTTTCTAGGTACATCTACTAAATGGTAAGATAATTGACTTTCTTACTTTCTTTTGGGATACCGCCTCTGTGCTCTCATGCTAGCATGCTCGCCTCGATTGAAAGAGGTCATAAGTTCGACCCCGGCCGAGACAACCTAAAGACTTGAAAATTAGTATTGACTGCTTCTCAGCTAAACAGACAGCATTTATCTTCTTCAGACTCCAGAATGAAATGTTCAATTGGATGACATGTCTCCCTGTGGACTGTAGACTGTGATCTTGTGAACTAGCACAAGCATGGAGATCTAGTACAATGCAGGCTTCATATCCATGTCACATAAACAGGTTTCTGTCCTGATAACGAAGTGAAGTTGACACTGGATGTGAAACAAACATTCATTATTATCATTATTTTTGACTATTGTGTCGATTGATACATTTGTATTTGTTGCACATCTTTGTTTAACTTTATATTTCATAGTTTAAATAATAGACGACAAAGTTATTGAACAGATCCAAAGCCGAAGTGTATGCTTATAACAAAATACGTTTTTTTTTCAAATTCTGTCAACATATATCCTGACCACAACGACCCTAAAATTGCTAGCAATAAATTTGAAACCTTGAGGTTAAAACAAAACATTTCAGAATTAGAATAAAACATGATACCGTTGTCAATGCAAATGAGAGAATGTAAATGTGAGCATTTAAGACTATTAAAGAATGATTGTCTAACGTCTGATAAACTAGATCCTTGAAAAACATTACACAGTTATTAACTGGGTTTGAGGTCAACAACTTGTTTTATTTTACATCGAAGACTGAAATGTTGTCTGAAACAAAAGACTGAGGGTTACAGTTCAGTGTGATGTTAAAACAACAACTGTTATCAAGAATCAGGTCTATAACTGTTTTGTTTTACCGCCAGCCTATCAACTGTTTTTTTTTTTTTCATGTTAGAGGCCAAAATCATTAGAAAGATTTAGATTTGAAACAAATATACAGCTGGTCTAAAATCTATACCAGTCCCATAATGACGTTATAAGGTATAGGAAATATAAAAAAATATCATATCTAAGTTACAATGCATTTTTGTCGAAATTGTTGAGATTTGTTATTCTCACCCAATTACTTATCATTAAGTCTAGCTAATGCAATTCATTTTATCTAGTAGTATATATAGTACACGGGAAGAATAAATCTGATCTTAAACCGATGCAGATTGACCTCGAGGTTACCAACTTGGCGGGACCGTTGATTAATGGATACATTCGTCATATGTGGCAGTTTGTTCTTCGTTATTTAAAAGTTAAAACAACAATATCTGTGTTCACTGAATTAAATATTACTAACGAAAAATTGATAGATATATTATGGAAAAGATATTAAAAAGTGGTGTTCAGACAACATTTCAGTCTTCGATGTAAAATAAAACAAGCTGTTGACCTCAAACCCAGTAAATAGCTGTGTAATGTTTTTCAATGATCAAGGTAATCAGACGTTAGACAATCATTCTTTAATAGTCTTAAATGCTTACATTTACATTCTCTCATTTGCATTGACACAGGTATCATGTTTTGTTCTAATTCTGAAATGTAATAAACTTTCGTCTTGTCCTAAAGATCTCAGTAAATAATTAGATTTGAAATGAAAGAAAATTCATATATAAGACCACCAATGAACTATGGTGTTCTCATATCAGAATCGAACAACAAACAATGATCTCTTGTTCAAGTCAGCGGAACAATTTCCGGAGATTGTTTCGAAAACTGTAAAATTAATCAAAACATTCAGTTTTGTTGACGATTATATAATTTTATATATATGCACATGTAATATATTTATTTTTAAAACTATTGAAGTTTTGAAAATTTGTATGTCTTTTGTCACGTTCTATTATGGGTTTTTTTTATTGGGTAGGCTAACATTTGGATTCATGGTTACTACGGGGTTTATGTCTATGTGGGTCAGCAACACAGCAACAACATCCATGATGATTCCAATCGGACAGACTGTCCTGGTTGAACTTGTTCGAGCACGGAAACAAAATCGATCGATGAAGAGGAGAAAGATATAGGTTAATTTCTTGTAATATTTTTCATATCGATGGCTAGATTACCATTATATATGGAATATGTCTGTTCGAACCGCCAATCTGAAGGACACAATCTATACATTCTCTTCTCTATTACGATGAATATAGTGTTGGTCTGTTGAATGTTAACACTGGAACACCGGCTAGCTTGACATTGCACAGTTCAATTAACAGGTTATTGTATGGTAGCAATTAAAATTCATTGTAAGAACTAACTGACAATAACCCAAAATTTTTGGCAAGTGATGCCATATTAATGTTAAACAATGCCAAAATCCAACATTTGCGAAACCTGTTTCTGTAACAAGTAAGGGTTTAGTTTAAACTATATTTATTCAGATATATCATCACAAAACGATATGTTACAATTGAAATAAATGATAAGGATTCAGAAACAAGCAAAGGGCTTAAGTATTTCATTTGTAATCCCTCTTCTTTTAACAGCGATAAGCTAAAGATCGTGGATTTAGATTAATTATTATTTCAACAGAAACGGTTTTACAATAATAGTGCAATAAATGACTTTGAAGTGATCTTTTGCCGTCAAACCATTTGAATGATGTCAAACGTTATTGTCTGTGAGATGGTGTTATTTTATTAACGAAGTCTCCACGAACGAACTTACTGGAATTTACAGGATTTTTTAATTGAATAACTTCTTTTCAGGTGACAAGATGGACAATAAGATTGAAAATTTAGAATAAAACGATTGGTAATATAAAATTTACTTTTCGAAAAATTAGTTGGAAATACCATTGTTATTGCAAGTATTTGCGACATTCTATTTCATGTTTTATAAATGTCCAGACGTTTGACATGTTTGACATGTTTATGCTAATCTAGTAACCTTTTTTTTCGTTTTTACTTATTTCAATTATTAAACACCCTCCTCAATAAGACCAAATCTTTTGAAATTCAAACACAATGTCACGGACCATTAGAAACACGTTAAAATCAATTTTGACCGTGGACATTTGCAGTCCAAAAATCAGCTTTCAGTACAGGGTATATGTGATCTCTTAGTTCTAGTTTCTAATAGTTTTATTAATATTTGTTTTCAATGAATCAGTTCATTTGAATTTGAATTTAATAAAAATTGAAAATGTAAATATTTTATACCACATCCTCATTTTGTACAGTAAAATGAAGTTGATAAAGAGCAATGAAGATAGCGACACATTTGAATTTGAAAAGTTAGACGCTGAGTCAAAGAACCTTTGTAAACTGGTATGCCTCTGTATTTGTTACTCGGCTAATTGTGGTGACATTGCGACATTAACTGGAACTACACCTAATCTAGTGCTCAAGGGACAACTCGATCAGTAATTATAAACCAATATTTGTCATTGTTATTGTGATAATTTTATCACAATCTCTAATATCCTTACTTGATGATGCTATACAAGACCTCTTACCAAAAATTCAACCCTACCATATGTTTATATTTTATTCCGATCAAAAACTATAACAATCTAGAAGCTTGTATCTTATATTCACTAATAAGGAAATTGAAATTTACCCAATATATTGCTAAACGGAGAAATCAAACTGTAGCCGACGTTCTGCCGAACCCCGCACGTGGCAGGTACGTTTGCATTCAATCATAATTGAATAGGATTGTCAGTTTTCCTGCCGAAGGTCGGTTGTTCTCTACGCCGTGCGGGCAGCCAGGATTCCTCCATCAATAAAAATTAGCCGCCACGAAATGGTCAACAGTGTTGAAAGTGGAGTTAAACATAAAAATCAATCAATCAATCGATCATATTGAACTGGTTTCTTTTATGATTTTCATTGCCTATCACAAATATTCGTCTTTCTATGTTCAAAGTACTGATTACTTGCAAAATTAGTCTTGTGGATGAATCATAGTCAATTAAGACCGGAATCGGAACGAGTTATAACTAGCAACCTCGGTATTAACAGTGTAGTGATCGTGGTAGATCGATAAACTATTTAGAACACTGCTATGATTGCCAAGAGACAACTATCCACCAGAGTTCAAGTAGATGTTAGCAATAATAGGCCACCGTGCAGCCTTCAACATACCGTATAGTCGGCTATAAATACCTCGACATGAAACAATTCAAACTAGAAAACTAACGGCCTAACTTATAACAAACCAATTTAAAAAAAAACAAATATAACAGGCATGAACCAACGAAAACCACTGAACTACAGGCTCTTGACTTGGTGCAGGCACATAAAGAATGTGACGAGGTTAAAAATGTTTGTGAGCGCTCTAAACCCTGGACAGCATAACACAAGAATAAATCAGTTGCAATTGACTTAAAAGATTACCCGATAATTTTAGATAAAGAAAGCCAAACGTTATTTTTGCTGATTACAAAGTCATATCTATCACTTATTGTATAATGATGTATAATCGTATGTGATTTTTACGTGCAATACATATTGTAATGTCGCCTTTGAATTTCACTGAAATTTTTAATTATTTCGTATTAATCTTTATAAAAATCAATTAAAAAGAAACTATAATATTAAGAATTTAAAAAAAATATATGAATATTCAACAATTGTTGCAGAAATGTATACCTATTTTTTTTATTCTACAGTTTGTTTTTGATTTTTCTTCTGACTTATGACATGTATGAAGTAAATTGTAAATTGTAAATTAAATCCAACTAGAAATACCTATGTTGTTATTTAGTACGTCAGCAGCATGTTTCGTTAAAGCTAATGAGTAAGTGATTTGATTAGCGATGTTCATTGCCTATCACAAATACTCGTCTTTCTATGTTCAAAATACCGATAACTGGCAAAATAAGCCTTGCTGATGAATTTTCAAAAGCAAGACTTTGGAAACCCAAAGAGTAAAAAAAAAATCTAAATACAAACAATCAAAGGGCAAAAACAGGAAAGCACCTATGTTGTGTTGTAATAATAGGTAGTGATGGGAAGACCGTAACAATATCAATATAAAAATGATTAATTGATTGATTGTGGTCGGTATTTTTTTATGGAGACAGCCGAAGTACCCGAAGAAAATCACAGATTTTCGGCAAAAAAACTGGAAATCCCATTCAATTAAGACCGGAATCGGGACGAGTTATAATTCATCAATGGATTACCAATAACTAACTTGTATATAGGTAGCAAACTTAAGAAAAGGGGACATATTCAAATTGTCATTAACACTGAAATGCTTACATGTGCTCCGTACGATTATTACTAAGTTTTAGACCTGGCATATTTTTTCAATAAGGTTGACTAATCAAATCAGGATTTTTTATTGTTGTTTATCTAAATTATTCATATATATTCTATTTGTTTGCAAATTTTTGTGCAGATTGTCTGGTGGTAGTTCCGGTATAACATTTGCTACATTTGTACATGGTTTATTTTCGGATTTCCTATATCCATAGTCAGCGTTTTAATGAATTGGGTAATTCTACAGATTATGTTCTTTGGATGGAGTTGAGTTTAAGAATATAATAAAAACATACTCATGTTAAGGGCATACGATACAGTTACAGGGGAGGTAATGACGTTGCTAACGTATAATGTTATTTTTGCGACGTCAAACTGTGACATATCGGGAAAAGATGCAATTTGCGACTGATTTTTATCATTCAGACTGATTTAACTTAAAAACGAGTTCATGGACCCCTCGTTTTTAAAATGACATTACGTATGAAGATTATTTGTACCAATTTTTATGAAAAAAATAGATAAATATACTGCAAAAAATGCCGTTTTTTTCTAAAATCGTGAAACTTTGATAACAATTAATTATTTCCAAAGAATTGTTATGCAAATTTAGATCACACTTATTTAAAGAAGATTCCCCAAATGTTTTTACAAAAATCCGTTTGTGTTTATCTTTTGAGACAAAAAAGTTAGGTATGTCTATCCAAAGGATAGAAATGTCCAAAAGACCGAAATTTTGAGTAAATGTCTACAATTTCGACCCCATTTATCTCTTAAAGTAGCGCATGAAGGTATATTTTTTATTACATATTTGAATTGACTAGGTGAAAAATAGCTTGTATACAAATTTTAGTAAAAAATCACAGTGGGATCAAAACTGTATCGTATGCCCTTAACGGACAATGATTGTTAGTGGAGTGTTTTAGTTTAAAATGCTGTCGTGTGATGACAGTGGGATTCCTCTCAACAAGAGAGTTTATGAAAGTACATATTGATTGTATTGTTTTCTTCTTCTGCTTCTTCTGAACGGCCAGTGGCATAAATATCAAGCATATAAGCCTACAAATATAAAATAATAGATAAGTCGAATGATTTGTTTACCTTGTATGGACCGGAAAATGTCAGAAAGAGATGATATGTGGGTATATGAAGAACTTTCTCGTTTAAAAGGTCAACTACTAGTATACAGAACAACTCTTAATGATTTATCAAACGGGGTTAACATGCAGAAAAACAAATACTAGACCTACAACAGGCATCAAGTTTTATACCAATTGATAGAACGATATATTTCATACCATTAATGAGGGTATCGATGGGGTTTACAGAATAAAGAATAATGAGTTAATTTTACAGAACAATTGACAAATTAATAACGAGTAGAGAAAAATAGGCCGAAAAATTAAGAGTACAGAAAGGAAGAACCCCCCCCCCCCCCCCCCCCCCGATCCTGGCCCTCATTAAGACCACTCCCTATTATTCATTACATTTAACTTACAAGACAATCCCTAATTAAGTCAAGGTTCTAATCTGTCTATATTGTAGTTACAATCGCTGTAAGGTAAAAATGCTACCTATATGTAATACATAATGCTGTCTTCATTATTATTATTTTTTGCCAAATTACACAATACCACATTCTTTGAAAAAATATTCCACGAATCGCATACAACTCAATAAAATAAATTTCAACATCTTTGAGAAGTTCCCTCAATTCAGTTCATAAATACGGTAAATTCATTCTTTCATTTATTCAAATCAATATGCATTTACATTATATAACCAATGTGTAAATTCAAGGTCTCTATTCACAAAAGCCAAAGCAAGTGACAATCCAGAGAGAATCAAATTTATTCTGAATAAACAGTATGATAGTCTTGGAGAAATAAAGTAAGTAAAAGTGCGATACGACAACCTACTTATCTCCCCTTGAAGGAGAATTCTTGAAATACCATGTTCGTGATGTTAACCCATATAAAAAAAAAGTTCAAATGAAGTGTATGTAAGCCATTATATGTCACCGAATGGTCTTCAACAATGAGAAAAACCCTTACCATATAATCGGATATAAAATGCCACTACATAAAACAATTCAAACGAGAAAACTAATGGCCCAATTTATAACAAAACAATTTATGAAAAACAAATATGACAGGCATGAACCAACGACAACGACTAAACTACAGGCTTCTGACTTTGGGCTGGCACATAAAGAATGTTGCGGGGTTAAACATGTTTGTGAGGGCTCAAACACCCCATAAACCAATGATAGTGGTGTAATGGTACAACACAAGATCAGTTGCAATATAATTGACTTAAAAAATTACCCGATAATTAAAAAAAAAAAAAAAAACCAAACGTGATTTTCCTGAGTATAGGTTATATCTGTCACCTAATTCTAATGATGTATAATCGTATGTGATTTTTACCTACAACACATAATGCAATGTCGCCTTTGAATTTCACTGAAATTTTAAATTATTTCGTATCAATCTTTATAGACTCAATTAAAAAGAAACTGCGATACTAAGAATTTTTTTTAAAATTACGTATATTCAACAATTCTTGCAGAAATGTGTACCTATTTTTTCATCCTATAGTTTGTTTTTGAGTTTTCGTCTGACTAGTGATGTAAATTGTAAATTGTATATTAAAACCAACTAGATATACTTATGTCAGAACCACGTTTCGTCACAGCTAATGAGTAAGTGATTTAATTAGAAATTTTTATACATGAGTTTGATCAATTTGTTTTATTCGATTCAATTTTCCTTACAACTCTAGTTTGGATCAAACTTTTATCGTTGTATTAATGATAACTCTTTTTTAGTTTTGCACAGAAAGCGGTTTGTGTACATTTAGTTATGCTTGTGATGTTGTGGTTTTCGTTAGAACCAGAATGTGTTCCTGGCTGGGGAAATTTCTTTAAAAAAGGGTACGTCTTAGAGATTTTGTTACTCAGTTTACACCAAATGCAATTACATATCATCCATTGTACACTAGCTTCGCCAGTAATATATAATGTCTTTAGAGAAGCCATACGATATAAGACTTTTAGCTCAACTGCCAGATGATGAGAGTTTTGTCTATTATTTCAAAATCCGCTATAAATAAAGAATGTTCAGAATGTTAAGCTCTACCTATTGTCTAATTACGTCAAAACTGTCAGACGACTTTTTATATGAATTATTGTCCTTAAATGACGAATTTTACTATTTTTTACATTTTTGCCTATTAAGTCGAAAATTATAATAGATAGACAGACATTTTAAAAAACAAAAATGATCAGCAAGACCTGCTCTACATATAAATCAGCATGGCCAATATTTTCAGACGACTCCTTATAAGAGTCATTGCCCTTTAATCACGATTTTTGCCCTTTTTTTTTTTTTTTTGCGTTATTGTCTTATATCTTAAAAACTACTAGAACACACATGCAACATCGTGGGTCCGTGGCTGAAATAAAGTACATACGCCTTCTTTTCAGCCTGGATTTTTAGTATTCGTATTGTCATTTGATAAACTCATGCTTATAATAAGGTGCACAGTTTTCTCTACTTTCAAAATCTTTCTGTTTGAATCCGTGCTGGTTTTCTTACTACAACCGGAAACTACTTGTTGATATATTTTTTTGGTCAATGATTGAATTTAGTATTGTCAATCCCTGTATAATGACGAAGTTGAGGTGTGATTATGAATTGTGTATATATCAAATCCCAAATACACAGTTTGGTGGTGCGCCTGACAGAGGCGGAACGTACAGATTGTGTAACAGGTAACAGGTAACATGTGACATATACTATTGTTTTCGGTATCGGATTTGACCCGGAACTTGTAATATTAGTAATATAAATTATGTGGAAAACAAAAGGGTCTTGAATGGAGTGATTTTATATTAACCCCATTGTTCCTTATTAGTTATATATAAAGTTGAATTCTTTGATTCGTCGTTTTTACGTCATGCCGGCTTACAAATTGGACCTCGTTATTTTAGTGGTATAGATTATGGATAGATAGAATCAGGACAGATTCTACAAATAAGATAAACATTGATGAAATCTTCTGTCGACTACTGATTAGAGTTATTGCCCTTTAATGACGATTTTTACCAATGTTTTCCGTTTTTGCCTTATATCTTAAAACCTATAATAGATAGTTAGAAAGTTTATAAAGCAAAAGTGATCTGCTAGACAAGATCTACAAATAAGTCAACATAACCGAAATCGTTCGTCGACTCCTTATTGAAGTTATTGCTCTTTAATTTGCCCCATTTTTGCCTATTATCTTGAAAACTGTAATAGATAGATAGAAACTCTAACTAGCACAAATAATCAGCAAGTCAAGTTCTACAAATAACTCATACTCATTTCTTCATTGTAAAACATTTTTCCACAACGTAATGGACTTGTCTCCATAAACGTTTGACATCTTGTTTTCCTGATCATTTTTAAGAAAAACATTCTGTGTTGTATGATGTTAACTCATTTTGTTATTTTGTTATTTTGTGTTGTATGATGTTATCTTTTGCTATTTTGTGTTGTATTATGTTACCGTTTGCTATTTTATGTTGGTTGATGTTATCTTTTGCTATTTTGTGTTTTATTATTAGAATGTGATCTTTTGCTGTTTTGTGTGTTTTATTATTAGAAATATATTTTGCTATTTGGTGTTGCGCTATGTTTTCTTTATCTGTTTTGTTTTCTGATTTTATCTTTTTCTATTTTTGTGTTGTATTATGTTATCTTTTCCTATTTTGTGCAGGTACGTGTCAGATGCAGTACCAGGAATGATGATCGCTACTAGTTTGTTTATTTTTCCTTCTAGAAGGCGATTGAAAACTGATACAGGTATATGTTGCAACGTCCACATTTTTAAAAAATTATTAAGAAATTAATGGTACTTCACGTTTGTAATGTTATTCGTTATAAGTATATGTATTTCTACCATTATCGGCTATTTATAGAAAGACAATGCTGATTTACAAAATTTATTAGCTATTCCTTACGTCATCTCTTTAGTATAATACATAGACTTGTGTCGATTTAAAGTACAATGTATAATATCACTTGTGTTTAATTTATTATTTTGTTTTAGAAGTGTTTATCTATATGCGTTTATTTTCAATACCGCGTCCCTTCAAGTGTCCGATCGTGTACTGGTATCACTAGTCGGTGTCTTCAACCTATGCCAACATTTGAAAAATATATATTCAACCTATGCTTACAAACAAAATACAATGGGTGTTGTTATAACAATTAATAACTAATTACAGGTAAAATCTTTCTTTCTTTTTCTTTCACCTACAGGTATGAATCGCCGTTCTAGATCGGCGCACTCCTACATAGTAGGATGGCTAATGCGCTATATACAAATATTATTAATTCGTATATTTTAACTAATTTGATTCGTTCAGGGATAGTCACATGTTAAACTATATTTTCGAAGGTATTTAGAAAACGGCGGATAGCAAAAAGCACATTGCATAGCAAAAAGCATATTGCACGGTTATTTTTAGAATATTTAAAAACCGATATACTTTGTGACGTCATGTAATGAATTTCATGATATTGTTAAAAGATTTATAAAAAAAATATCTATGATCGATTATTTGAAGAAAAAAAATCTTCAAATACATAAGATGTAAAAAAAAAAACAACATAAAAAGTAAATGAAATAACAGCTAATATGTTGTTATTGTCTATGAGACAATATGATATCTATAAAATTCCAACAAAATCAAATGACGATTTTGATACAAATATGGTCGGAAATTAATAATATAACAATTATAGCCTATGTATGAGGTCAATACAGGATATATCGACCCAAAGAAGTATATCGACCTCGGACTTCGTCCTCAGTCAATATACTTCTTTCAGGTCAATATATCCTTGTATCGACCTCATACAAAGGCTATAATTGTATAATATACACCCGCACCCACTAAAAACTCATATTACACACAAAGGAACGTGCCACTAATCCACCAATTCATGCATATATATATATATAACGGAAATTACAGTCAGTATTTTAAAGCATTAAAAATTACTCCTTTAGAATAAAAAAAACAACAGTTAAATACTTGCAAAATTATGTTGTAGTAAAAATATTCTTGTATGGTAAAATACTTCAAAAATTTGTTTGTTCTTAATATAAAACTTAAACAAAACAAACAAAAATAATTGAATAAATAAAAAATTATAAAAATTAAAAAGAATTAAAGTAAAAAAATATTTTTTGGGATTTTTTTAATATACAAGATTTGCTCACGTATGACTTGTTGCTGAGTATCCAAGCTAAAAATGTATTAAATCTGATTCATGTTCTATATCTAAATTAAAATTTTATTTTGAAAAAGTGCTTTATTAATTTTGGTAATCATATATAAAAAATGGGCTTTAACTAGTTTTCACAGAGCTCTTTAATTCAGTATGATTTCTATGTCTTAGAAACATAATTCCCCATAGAATCTTACAATATTTTATAAAAGAATAGAAATATATACACAGAGAATTATAATTTGCTGAGCACATATGAATAGCGGCATAATTATATTAATGCACATAATATGTATAAACGGTAATATGTCTGACTGCTTCTGAAATTTTCAGATATGTCCTTTCTAGAAAATATCTTTCTAGAATATATGATATTCGTTACGAATACTATATCCGTTTATCAGACTATTCAAAAAGAGAGGCGAAAGATACCAAAGGGACATTCAAAGTCGAAAATAAACTGACAACGCCTTGGCAAAAAAAGAAAAGGACCAAAAGACAAACAACAGTATACAAAACACAACATAGAAAACGAAAGACTGAGCAACGCAAAACCCACCATAAACCGGGGATGGTCTCAGGTGTCTTACAGTATTATCAGATATATTTTTATATAATATGTATATATATGTCTCTGGTATGATGTAATAGTGAACATTGTAAAATTGTTTTTAATTCTGATGTCAGTTTTTACGAAATATGTGTTTTTGTATATTAGAATACATGGATGGAAATGCAGAAAAAAACACTATTGTAATAAGAAGTAACACACATATATACAAAAACACCATTATTTCATAAATACTGACCTGTGAAAAAATACACTTTTCAATGTGAAGCAGATTATAAATAGTGTTCTATTCATTATTTCCATGCAATTGACGTAATTTTACTTTTAGAAAAATATCATCAAATATTTTCATCATATATTGTATGATATTCACATGATACTGGTATATCCTGAACATGCATGAAATATTTGCCATTGGACTTTAAGCAACCTTCAATCATCAATTGTTTTATTATGTTAATTCCAAATACAAAAGAGATCAGCAACACACAGAGTTGCCTTCATTTTTACTATTACAAGTAACAAAAATAGTTGTGGGTACACTTAAACGCCAATTTTAAACTGGTTGTAAATTGATTGTCCCCTAATTATTTTTTGTTTTTATAACACTTAATCTGTTATATTTTATTCAACCTATGCCAACATGCACTTTTTCATACAATTTTATACCTAAATTTCAAAATGTTGGCATAGGTTGAATGAACCCACTAGTCTTGTCATCCAAACGTTATGTCTTGTGGGATTAGTGGATTTATTGGCCTTTGATCATGAAAAGAAAATATTCACAACAACAGAAGAGAATATCAGTTGTTTTTCAAAATTAAATTTAACAACATATTTACCGAAACAAAAGACACGTTTTTTATTCCAAATTCTGAGAGAGAACATATTTTTTATGCCAAATTATTTTGCCAAAACCGATGTTACATCTAACAATACATGCAAAAACACGTGACGTTTTGAGTGGTGAATATCAATTTTCTGGAAGTGAATGTGATGGGTTATTAATAATTCGATTCATATAGCAGACGTACTTAAATAGTTCCATTGTGGAATATATCTTATCTTGCAAACTGGACACCCGATCAGTTAGGAAAAGTATAAACCAGATAAAAAAATCATTTTTTTAATTCCATAAAACATGTTCTTTATACCATTGCCTATGTCATTCCATTCCTTTCATTGTTATTGTTTTTATTACTGTTAATAATCATATACCCCTGATTGGGTCTGGAGAAATAAACGTTTCAGGTTTCAAGTTTGATTCAAGTTATCTCCATTAAAAGGGTCCACCAATCTTTTACATGACCAATTTGTTTTAGGTGAGGACGAAACAAACGAAATACCTCCACTTCTAGACTGGCAAACATTTGTGGAAAAAATACCATGGGGTGTTACACTTCTACAGGGTGGTGGACTTGCTCTTGCGTTTGCATGTCAGGTATGAAATTGTTCTTGTTAAGATTTTATCTTCTGTTATGTCAAATTCATATCAGGTATGTAATCTCTACGATGTACTCTTTCGGTATATATCAATCAGATAAGAGGTGTTGTCATGCTCCATGCATACATGTAGAATTCTCTATTAGATGCGGAACAAACAATTTGGGGTTGGAAAGGCAATAAGCATAACACTCTTAAATGAGATCAGGTTGCGACACTGTTTATCCTTTCGTTCAGGGAGAACATTGTAAAACATACATGTATATATGTATATAATTACATTAGATGTATGTTTCATTATAATACGTTATTCTGATTGGCTAACTGCAAGCTCGCGTTATTCCTTAATCAACTTCAATACACAATGAAATTTATCATTCATGATGACACGAGGTCCCACAATAAAGTGCACTGGTAAATTAAATAAAAACTTGATAAAAATCGTGTTTTCATGATACTAGCTAAAAAATGTAATTATAAGTATTGAATGCTTCTTTTTTGTAACTTCATAGGGTTGTAAAAGCGTTGACCGTGCGCACATTTTTAGAATGAAGCGCTTCCGCGCTTCATGCAAAATGTACTTCGGTCAACGCTTTTACACCCCAATGAAGTTACAAAAAGAAGCATTCAATTCTTAAATGAAACCGAATACTATGAACACATCGTGTGTTTCTGTGATTACCTTCAAATGTGGTACGCTCGAGTCAAAACCGTTTTGGAGACCAAAAAAAAGAGAAGATATTTGGCATGAGAGCATCAAATTTAAATTCAAACGTGCATGCCTTGGTTTGAAATCGCTAGATTAGTATTGTCACAGTGTCTAAAATATATATTAGAAAATTAAATGTTTTTCTGTTCTGATTTAGAAATGAAGATTTAAGTATGAAGTTTAAAACGTCAATCCATTTTCTTTGCCTGTCATGTTCCAAGTACGGTCAAAATTGATTTTTACAAAAATAAACGACAGCCAATATCGTAGCCGGAAATCTGCAGCAGCAATAGAACAAAGAACTAAATATCAAACAATCAAAACGACAGACAAAATAGTAATAGTGTCATCGTTTGTATTTTAATGGTTGTCTTTTTATAGAGAATGATCATGGCAGTTCTTTGACATTCTCAGTTCATTTTCACAATTTATCTACGCATGTTCAGGGCGAATACAAGCTTTTAATGAAAATCGTTGTATCTTTGCTGGTGACATTTATTTTACAAAAATCAGTTCAAATAGACGATGTATTCCTTCTTTAAAGGAATCAGGACTATCACTGTGGTTAGGTGCTCAGATGTCTGTGTTTCGAGACGTACCCGTTTGGATTATGATATTTATAATATGTACTTTTGTTTCCTTGACAACCGAAGTAGTTAGTAATATAGCCGCATGCAGTATCGTTCTTCCCGTATTGGCAAACATGGTAAGTTCAAAAGTCACCTTTTTTATTATATAAGGCGCTTTTATAATCATCATATTCACAAATTGTCTGTATATACTACTGAAACAATGATCAAACTGTAAGAAAAAGGACTATGTTTTCTCCAGTATCCGATACTTTTCCATGATGACAATACGTCTGAAAATTTATTGTTCAAGAAAAAATCCAATCTTTTCAAAGTTACATAAAAGTTCCATTTTCTATTACAAAGATAACCTTTTCTTTGCATATTTCTTGTTAAGACCGTTTAAAATGGAGTTTAACAATATACAAATAAGGAGATGTGGTATAGTTGCCAAGGAGACAACCATCCTCCAAAAGACAAATGACGTGGATGTAAGAAACTATAGAGTGGGTGACGCATATTCGCCGCAAAATTCGTTCATTTCCAACTACATCCGACCTACATTCGAATATTTGAAACTTTTTATGTAGGTTTCAGAAAGTTTACTTGTATATTATAATAACAATTGTTTGCAATTACATGAATTAGCTTGAGAGATTATTCCTATACGATTTTTCTAACAAATATTTACTTTATGACTGCACATGCGTGCCATATAAATCTTACATAATTGCCAAAATCGTTCAAAAACACCTGCGTATTTCTTTATATATGCGAATAACATTGGAAATGGGGTAAAGAGGAATATCAACAGTTCGAACATTACAAACAGCGTTTAGCATCTATTTAGGCAAGTATTGCTTATAGGCACACGAAATTTACAGAAAAAATTGCAAAAACGGCGAAAATGTGTCTACGGCAAATATGCGCCACCCACTCTACGGCCTTAAGCAATGAGAAAAATTCCTATCGTATACCTATCTATGTTTTTATTAAATAAGAATACAAGTACCGTCTATCACAACAAATAAATGCGAACTTATTACATTCTTTGGGGTTTACTTGTTCAATTTAGAACTATGCAGTCTAAACCTATTCAATGGCATACTTTAAACTATGAGCATGCTCAAAAATGGCTATCATCAACTGAAAAATGATAACACAGAAATATCACCCGCCTTTATATCTCATGTAAATTATAACATAACCATTTCTGACTTTGTCATTATCTGGGAAAATGAATTAAATGAGTTTTTCATACAGGCTGCTGGCATGCATATTCATCCGACATATTTAATGTTACCTGCTACAGTCGCCTGCTCATTTGCTTTTATGCTTCCTGTTTCTACACCACCAAATATCATAGCATTTTCATACGGATATCTTAAAGTTACTGATATGGTGAGTAAAGTTTAGAGTTTAATCATTTAATTTTTTTTCTATCATTGACGATTTTAATATTTGATATTAAAAACTAGAACCCTACATTTGAATTCAACCCGAAACCTGAAGCAGCGTTACTTATACATAAAGAATTGCTGAAAACGTCTGCATGGTTATAATTTGTGAAATGTTTATGCCAGTAATTGCTCTGTAATATTTGCAAAACTCCCTTTGTAAAATTCAATAAAGAAAATTTAAACAGTGCGAATGCAAATGGTATCAAAAATAATACAACTAGGCTAAACGAGAGGCTAAATGAACTTCGTTAGAAATTGGTAGTTTTCCTGGGTAGTGTAATGTTCTCTGGTTTAAACCAAGTAAATAAAATAACTCTTGATCAATATATGAAGCTTCCGAAACGTTTGTCTGTAATTACCTTCATTAGGAACGACCAAAACCAAACAATTAAATACCCCGGATGTATCAAATCTTGAGGAGCTATATGACCAAAAGGGAATAATAAAGATTTTTAAACATGTTTAACCCCGCCGCATTTTTGCGCCTGTCCCAAGTCAGTTCATGCTTTGGAGTTAAGTGTGACGTCCATTTTCACTGAACTAGCACACAATTTTATTAAGGGGCAGCTGAGGACCACCTCCGGGTGCGGGATTTTCTCGCTGCATTGAAGACCAATTGTTGTCTCTTTTACATATGCCCCATTTCCATTCTCAATTTTATTTTACCAAATTCCTCTAAATTCATGTTTGCGTGAGGCGATTATATGGTAGCCTCCTCGCCTCTAGTGCACGAGATCGTGGATAAGATCCCGGGTTGGATCAAACTTTACGACTCAAAATTTGGATTTTGTGGCTTCCATACCAATCATGTGGCATTTAAAAATAAGAACAAAAACTTGTCGCGGCTCTAAGTAAGAATAACTTTTCAGAATAGGGTGACGTAGTCTTTCTGTGGAGTGTTACCCTGTAAACTAGAACGTTAAAAATCCGACTCTGTGGATCGGTCTAGTACAAAACAGGGTTCATATTCACATCACGTAAACATGTTCTCATCCTGAATATGCATTGTGTTTCCCATTGGATGTTAAACAGCCATCAATCCATCATCATCGTCATAATCATTTCTTATTTCCCGAAATCAAAGAAATGGGTGTTATTTTTTTAGTTTTTTTTTCAATTTGAGATGAAGATCGGAGTATTTGTAAACTTCAGTTGTGTAATAATTGTAACAGTGGCCATCAATACATATGGAGCAGCATTCTTAAATCTACATGAGTATCCAGACTGGAAACTTCTCTCAGATAAAACAATGAATCTTAATATAACCAACATTAATTCTACATTGTTACAATGATTCTTGTAAGACGAGTGCCTTGAAATGTGAGACATATTGGAATATAAGTTAAAACTAATGGTGTTTTTATTGTCTGTTTTTTATGGCCACTGCCATTTCAGATAATTTCACAGCGTAATTCTTAGTCATGCTTCATACCAATATAATTACATTACATGTATGTTTCAATATAATACGTTATTTTGATTGGCAAACAGTAATCTCGCGTTATTCTGAAATTAACCTTCATTTCAAAATGAAATGTAACATCCATGATAACACGAGCTTCCACAATAAAGTGCACAGGTAAATAAAAGAAAAACTTGATAGAAATCGTGATTTCATGATCCTAGCAAAAAAATGTAATTATAAGTATTGAATGCTTCTTTTTGTAGTTTTATAGGTTGTAAAAGCGTTGACCGTGCGCACATTTATAGAATGAAGCGTTTCCGCGCTTCATACAAATGTACTTCGGTCAACGCTTTTACACCCCAATAAATTTACAAAAAGAAGCATTCAATTCTTAAAATAAAACAAGAGACCGCGTATGATATCAGAGGATCCAGAACGAATTCTATTTATTAAATGATATGAGCAAATCAGCCCTAATACGGATAAATCAGCATGTGCAATACTGATGACGTTGATCTGTTAATATAAATCATGAGTTAATATTGCTTTTCGGACCGATCCAATACGAGAAAAGCCGTATTGGCTCATGGGCTAATACTTCCGGTTTCAATTTTTTACGCCTCACCTAACTTTGGATGTATTGTTTTGCATAAGATACATTTTTATCATATTTTGTATCTTCAAATAACATAAAAAAAAAGTTAAAAATGATGTTCCGTGTTTTTTAATATTTCACAGCCTTTCGATTATTATCAATTTTTCATTTCCGTTGATCAATCCTCAGAACGCAGACGATTCATGAGTAAGAATGGTTAAACTGTCTGAATTATTATTCCTAGCTACTTTATATTTGCTAGATAAAATTAGTTAACATAGCATATATTAAGTACTTGGACTACAGAAATTTCATAAATGTTGACAAAAATGCATCGTAACTGCGAAAAGACAAGTTCAAATATGAATTCCTATATCTTCTTCACGGTAAGTTTCTAAGTTTAATCAAAGAATTGAAATCATAAAATAAAAGTGTTATGAACTGGCTGTTTCTGTATTAATTGATTAGCCCTAATTACTTTATGCTTTTATAACTTTTAATCTGTTGTGTTTTACTCCATCGTTATGCCATCATTTTTTCATACAAAAAGTTATACCTACATTTCAAAATGTTGGCATAGTTTAATGAAACCAAAATAAGTGAAAATTATAGTCACTATAGACATAAGTCAAAGCGTCAAGCAATCAATCAAACGATTTATCATGAACCAGAGCAAAGACCTCCCCTTTCAAATGTTTTTATGTAATGTATAATTTAGAATGGTAAATCATAAACTGCCAATAGAATGTAGGAGGTGGTCTAATATCCCAAGAGAAAATCGGACCTGCCCTTTATGTGAAGAAGGCGATATCGGGTGATGAATACCATTATCTCCTCAAATGCAACATTTTTTTACAACAGAAAGAACTGAATACTTAGATAAAAAATTCACAACACATTGCAATATTCTTGGTTCAGGGAACTTATGAATACATCTAAACAATCTAAGCTTAGAAATTTATGTAAGTTTATTGATTTATAAACGATGAAGTTGATTCTCTCAATTAACCTTCTCCTCCTCCCTCATTTTTTAAGGTCTTTCATTTAATTAGATATACACTTCACATTTTTAACATGTAAACATATTTATTTATTTTATTTCTGTTTAGGGGCCAGCTGAAGCCCGCATCCGGGTGTGGGATTTTCTCGCTGTGTTGAAGACCCATGAGTTGCCTTAGGCTGTTTTCTGCTCTTTGGTCGGGTTGTTGTCTCTTTGACACATTCCCCATTTCCATTCTCAATCTTATTATGTATTACTATTGTATTGTTTAAATTATTTCCTCAACATATGTACCTTTGTATTATTGTATACTTCCTCAACTTATGTACCTTTGTATTATTGTATATTTCCCCAACATATGTACCTTTGTATTATTGTATATATCCCCAACTTATGTATCTTTGTATTATTGTATATTTCCCCAACATTTGTACCTTTGTATTATTGTATATATCCCCAACTTATGAGAGAGAGAGAGAGAGAGAGAGAGAGAGAGAGAGAGAGAGAGAGAGAGAGAGAGAGAGAGAGAGAGAGAGAAGAGAGAGAGAGAGAGAGAGAGAGAGAGAGAGAGAGAGAGAGAGAGAGAGAGAGAGAGGGTGGACAGGGGTACGGGAACATATGGGAATGAGGGGCGAGGGAAGCGGGAGTCAGGGGGCGGGAACCGGGGGGAGAGGGTAGTAAAAATAGCAATATTCTGAAAAAATTTTATTTACCGATTTTCTTCTGGAAGTAAGGTGGAAATTAAGAGTATGGGGAGGAAGTAGGCTGAGATGGGGGTAAGGAAGCGGGAACCAGGGACCCCTTATATATACCAATGTTTACAATTTCGTAAGGGGATAACTTACCTAGCTCAAGGACGTATAACTAGCGTCTAATATACGTCCTTGCCTAACTTGATAAAACTCTACTGTTGAAAAAACTATGATTGGTCCCTTTCCTGGTCCATGTCTCACTATTGAATAAAGTATCTAACCCCAAGAGATTTTTGGAGAGGGAACAAAAATCACTAACACTCAAATCAGCCTGCAGTGGCAATAAAAGAGGATCAACAGATAATAGCAAAAATTATTAAAAAAAAACTGGGACAAATATGACTAATACACTGAACTTTTAATTGTTCCCAGCAAAGACGTATTTTAATCTGAGATTTTAATATATGTCCCTGACTGTTCTTTATGAAAAATGGATCAAGAAATTACTGCAAATATGCTCAATTGTCAATCAACAATAACAGAATTTAGTCAAAACAGTCAATCAATCAATCTATACGACTATAGATCATGTTTGCATAAGTCAAGGACGTATAACTAACATCTAATAATACGTCCTTGACATAAGTGCAAAGACCTTCCCTTTCAATTGTTTTTATGTTATATATACCAATGTTAACACATTCATACTGGGGATTACTTGCCCGGTTTAATAAAACCTATTTACTTACTTACTAACGCACTGCTTTCGTTCATTCCATGTATTTTTTACTCGGGTTATTTGACCATAGAATAGAATATAGAATCGAATATTTTTATTTCCCAAATTACAGGGCCCTTAAAGGGCTCAAATTTTAGATACAATTCATTGACTTCTTAATTGGTAATTACAACAATAAACATCACAGTGTACATGTAAATATATATTTAGTATATTAGCATTGGTCAGAATCAGAGCCATCAACAATATATATATTGTGAATAAAAGAATAAAATTACCGTGCTTATATGCATCCATTCTCAAATTATCTACTGGACTTAGTGTCAATATTCATACCCGATCTCCTTAATTCAAAACATTCACCAATGTAACAGCCCATTTTTTTCCATGAGAGATACATTTTCTTGGGTCAAGAGCCATAAAAATTTGGAAGATTTATTTAAGTTTTTAAAATTATAACAAATTTTAGAAATGTATTGAAAAAAACCTTCCCTTTGGATATCATAAACATGATAAAGTGGGCATTCTAACAAAAAATGAAGCTCATCCTCAACTTTACCAAGTGAGCAATTTAAACAAAGACGCTCAGATCTATCTATATGTTTTTTTGAATATCTGTCTGTCTCAATATTAAAGAGTGAGCACTTATAGTGACTGTCTTTTTTTTAAATCCTGTAGTTCTAAATATTTTTCTTTTTTAAAACAACCTTTTATAGAAAAATAAGTAGTAAGCTTCCCATTTTCTGAGTTAATTGTTTGATACTTCAGTCTATTCCAAAATGTTAAATAACTTTCACATAGTTTATTTTTATCATACTTACATAAAGAACCAATTGATTGGTCAAAATTTGATAATTTAATCTCTCTCTGAATATAATGTATACTAGAGTACCATGTATTAACATTAGAAATATGTAATTGTTTACAACATATGAATGCATCAAATAATAATCCTTCTTTCAGACCTTCCAGTCTATGACAATATTTTAACATTGATAAAATTATAGTAAAATAAATAGGAAATCTACCAAGCTCTGACATCACAGCTATGTTACTGGACTTTCTGTTTACACCAAGAATATATTTCGTAAATCTATTATGAGCTTTTTCAGAAGCATCCTGACCAAAAACTTTTTCTCATATATAATCATTATCTTTTTTTACATGCAGCTGAATCAGTACGAAACATTCCCCATATTTCACTGCCATATAATAGTATGGGTTTAATTGTATGATCATAAAGATGTAAAAGTGTGGCAATACTAGGCATAGGTTAGATGATGACAAGCATCTCTAGATCTGTAGCTTAAAACATGCTTTTAAAGATTTGTTGTATAATTCATCTTTAAACTGCTTGAATATGCCACTAGATGTAAATGTGATTCCAAGATATCTATATAATTTTGCATATTCAATCTCTTTACTTCCAAAATATAAACAGCATTTTAAACATTTTCCTGGTTTGTTAAAAATTATACTTTTTGTCTTTTTTAGATTAACACCAAAACACTATTCTGAACAATATTCGTGCAACATATTAATTCTCTTTTGCAAGCCTTCCTGTGTTTCTGAAAAGAATACTACATAATCAGCATACATTAGACAATCTACTCTACGATTATTAATATTTACCGGATCAGGACATGATAAAAACCATATAAAACAGTTCAAAAATTTTAAATTAAAGTAACGTAGAGTTACTTCCCCTGAAAATGAGCATTCTAATTAAACTTATCATTTTATTCTGTTTTTAAATTAAAAGATAAATAAAATACATAAATAATATAAGAAGTGTTAAATAAAAATAATTTAAAGAAATTTTAATTTAATAATGCATAATTATTTAAGAATTGCAAATTTGTAAATTAT